GTCTGCCATTCGTCGCACGTCAATGATATGTGTGGAAATCCACGTCGGTCAAGCTCTAGAATCCACTGAACAAGAGACTGCTCTTCAATAAGTGATAGCTTGCGCCTAGTAGACGCAATCTCTGACCGTGGCTGGACACCGCGGAGACGCGTCTGGAGTGTTGATTTTGGCACGTCATACGCTTTCGCAAGAGAGTAGATAGAACTTTTTGGATTATTATGATAGGATGCGATAGCAAGGCTTAGTCTGCCTTCACGAGAAGTCTGTATAGAGCGTTGTTGTCGCGGCATTGTGGTGGTGGTGTAGAGCGTCGCGTCAATTTTGGTGGGGCGGCCAGCTTACTGATACGGCCAGCTTACTGATAGAACACGTTAGGCACAAAGTCACGTTTCGACGTGTGATTGGCGGGTGCGGATGGTGGCGGCGACTAAGGATGCTGCAGGTGAATGCAGGCATTGGCTAGCTGGATCCGATACAGGGCTGAGGATTCCCTACATAGCACACACACACACACATGCGCATCCAAAGCCACCCCCATGTGGGATGTACGGGCGCGTGACGGTTCATGTGTATGTATAGGTACTACTAGCAACCCTCCATCTCGGCTGTCACATCGGTGAGGGTGTGGCAGCGGCGGCGGAGGGTCAAGGGGAACCAATCGAAGGCCCACATGGCCGTGCTTGGCCGCCTCACAGTTCGCGGTGACGACAACGCACCCACTTCCAAATCCCCCCGAGCAACCTCATCCATGCCGTGTTCCAGATGCCGCAGCCCACATCACATGGTCGCCTGCAACTTCTCCGCTCGCCTACTTGCATTTGCTGCACTATTAGCCCGCTTGCTGCCCTAGCCTCCACAACAACCCGCCCACCGTGGACGCTCTTCCCTCCCCATACCGTGACGGTGCGCCCGACCAGGCCTTTGAGCTTCAAGACCTCGCAGCCCCTACCCGACCCCTCCAGCCCCGGTCGCACCACGACACTAAGAGAGAGCGAAAGCGACGCCAGAAGCTCGAGCAGCTTCGCGAGGCCGACGATATGAAGTTTTCACACAGCCTGCAGTTTAATGCAGTGCCCGACTGGAGCAACCATTACATTGCATACAGCAACCTCAAGAAGCAGTACGTTCCAGCCTGCAACACCGGCATGCCGCGAACAACCGGGCTGACGGGCGCTTGCCTATAGGATATACAGCCTCGAGACCCAGATCAACCAGAGAAATGCACACGTCGACGCCGAGTCGTCACCCCTGCTGAACGGGGACTCCGCCGACCCCGACAAGGTCTTTACCAATGCCCTCGACGTCGAACTCGAGCGTGTCACGTCCTTTTACAAGCTCAAGGAAAATGAAATTTACGAAGAAATGAGTGCCCTGCTCGAGGACGAGGAATCGTTTGAACACCACCAGGCCGAGTACAACGAGGAAAACGAAAACGCCCCGCCGGGCAAGAAGATGCGCAGTGGCAGTATTTTCAAGTCCATTGGATTCCAGCGCCCGCGCGCAATGAGTGGCACAAGCGGTCACTCGACAGACCACGCCCCCGACGACGACTCGGACGAAGACATGGATGAGACATCGCGGCTGCGTAAGAAGAGCCCGGATGGCCAGCGCCGACGTCGGCGGACCAACGAGGAGGACATGGCGGCCTCGCACGCTTCCTCAAGACGGTTGAACAGCGTCGCGTTCGAAGACTACCACGACATGGCCTTTTCCGCACTGTACGACGAGGGTGTGTCATTGAAGAAGCGCACTGTCAGTGTATACGTTCTACTATGCGAGCTGCGATCCTTTATCCAGCTCAACAAGACGGGGTTTGAAAAGGTTCTGAAAAAGTACGACAAGATCTTGGACCGAAAGCTCAAAAAGACCTACCTGACCAAATACGTCTACCCCGCCTATCCCTTCCAGCAAAGCACCATGGACGAGCTGTCACGCAATCTCGAGCGCATAGAAGCAGCATATGCCAAGATTGGTACAAAGGGCGACATAGCAGAGGCCAAGCGCGAGCTAAGACTACATCTCCGAGAGCACGTTGTTTGGGAGCGAAATACAGTATGGAGGGAAATGATTGGCATTGAGCGCAAGGCGCAGGCAGCCAACATTGGCATCACGCAGACCTTGCTGGGCCGCGAAACCACTGGCGGCAGAGTGCGGCGGCAGGGCGACGACGACGAATCAGACATGAAGGAGGTGGACACGCCAATTGGAAGATACAGATGTCCCCAATGGCTCATCAGCAAGCCTTTCTGGATGCTTCTTACTTGCATTGCCATTTTTGTGGTGCTGCTAGTAGTGCCAATCATGGAAAAGCCTGAGCAGCAGAATTGCCTGGCCATGGTTATCTTTGTTAGTTTGCTCTGGGCGACGGAGGTATGTTGAACCGAGTCTGGACAAGTCGAGCTCACGCTAACGAGAATAGGCGATTCCTTTGTTTGTCACATCGCTTCTAGTGCCATTTCTGGCTGTCACCCTCAACGTCGTTCGAAGCGATGTCGAGCCCCATCGCCGACTCGACTCCAAGCAGGCTGCTTCATATGTGTTTTCTGCCATGTGGACGCCAGTCATTATGCTGCTGCTTGGTGGTTTCACTATCGCTGCTGCGCTTTCCAAGTACAACATTGCTAAGATGATGGCCACTCTTGTGCTTAGCAAGGCAGGTACCAAGCCAAGAACGGTTTTGCTGGTCAACATGTTTGTTGCTATGTTTGCCAGTATGTGGATTAGTAATGTAGCAGCGCCTGTACTGTGCTTCTCCATTATCCAGGTATGTTCCTCAACTGGGATTTTGATCATGCTAAGCTAACATTCATCAGCCCATTCTGCGCAATCTGCCCGCTGACTCTGACATGACTAAAGCACTGTTAATGGGAATTGCACTCTCATCCAACATTGGTGGAGCTGCATCTCCCATTGCCTCACCACAGAACCTGATTGCGCTTCAGAACATGCAGCCCGAACCCTCCTGGGGAGTCTGGTTCTTCGTAGCCCTTCCCGTATGCATCATCTCCATTTTGCTCATCTGGGTGCTTCTCCTTGTCACCTTCCAGCCCGGAAAAGGTACCAGCATTGTGCCTATCCGCCCGCTCAAGGACAAGTTTACTGGTGTACAGTACTTCATCAGCATCGTTACTATTGTAACGATTGCGCTCTGGTGCGTGAGCCACCAGCTGGAATTTGTCTTTGGCGATATGGGCGTCGTAGCCATCATCCCCATTGTACTCTTCTTCGGCACGGGAATCCTTACCAAGGAAGACTTTAACAATTTTCTATGGACCATTATCATCCTTGCCGCGGGAGGTCTGTCGCTTGGTAAAGCGGTCAACTCGTCTGGTCTCCTACACACGATTGCCGAGTCCATCACCGCTGGTGTCGAGGGCATGAGTCTGTACGGTGTCCTTGTTGTTTTCTGCGCTTTGATCCTGGTTGTAGCGACGTTCATCAGTCATACCGTCGCGGCGCTTATCGTCTTGCCGCTGGTGCAGCAGGTGGGACAGCAGATGGCGGAGCCGCACCCGAACTTGCTTGTCATGGGCGCTGTGCTGATGGCGAGTGGAGCTATGGGACTGCCTACTAGCGGGTTCCCAAATATGAGTAAGTTGAGATTTTTTTTTTCGCCTTGAAGGTTTTGAGTAGAATACTGACTGAGTTGAATAGCTGCCATTATGATGGAAGACCAGCGGACGGGCCAACGGTATCTCGCCGTCAAGCATTTTTTGACTCGTGGTGTGCCTGCTTCCATTATGACTTTTGTCGTGATTATCACAGTGGGCTATGGCCTTATGCTTGCCGTGGGATTTTAAAAAGAACGGGCTATCGACACGGTTCCCCGTTTTTTTTCTCTCTTTTTTTTTGCCTTGTCCCTGGAAGAGATACGTTGTTTTGCAGAGCATCTTGAGCGCGTGGCGTTTACCCATTTTCGCTTGGCCAATGCATCTTTTTCTCTTTTTCTCAGATATTGGAGGATATATTCGCGCTGCTTGTATTCTTCTGGAAGAAAAAAAAAGAGGGTGGGTGGAGGTGGCTGTTCTGGCTGGAGCTATGGTTAGATGAGAACTTACAAAGTGAAATGAGTTGGATGATTTATACACACACACACACACACACCCAAAAAAACATGTTTAGTTTTGAAGAAAAAAGAGAAAAATTTAGAACAAACTTCTCATGTGCGTTAAGCAGTTTCTTATATTGGGTTTACTATATAAAATTCAAAGTTAGAAATGAATCGTGAATAAATAACCTTAGGCCAAAGAAATACTCTAACAAGAATATACTACTAACTAGTCCTAATACTTGTTTACTTCCTCTCAACCTTGACAACCTTGAGAACCTTGAACTCGCCACCCGTCGAAAGCTCCACCTCCACCTCCTCCTCCTCCTCCTCCTCCTCCTCCTCTTCACCCCCCTTCTTGCTCTTAGTCCTCATAGACTTGACCTTCATCTTCAAGGCATTACTGACGCGCTTGCTGCTCTTCTTGAGCACAATGACGGGATTGCGGGCGTCTTTTTTGGCTTGTTTGGCTGCGGCGATGTCGGTCATGGTGGTGAGATGGGTGGAGGGCAGGAAGGCATCGAAGGTGTTTGTGGAGATTGCGCGGGAGGAGCCTTGGGTGTTTGTGATTGTGATGGAGGGGACCGAGGGGGACATGTTGGAAGGTTGGGGTTTGGTGCGAGGGTGGGAGGGAGATGTGGCGTAGGTTAGTAGTTGTAGATTAGTAGTTGTAGGTTGAGTATGTATAAGTTGAGTTAGTAGATGGGTTAGTAAGTTGTGTAAGTTGGCTGGGTAGGTTGATGAATATGAGAGTGAAGAAGAAAATAAGATTGATTTATATATACGTTTTGATGAGTACTGTGTGTTAATGATGTATCAAGTATCGTGTATTAGCAGCGACTGTTGTACTTGTATGGTGAGATATATTGTGTAAGGGTTGGGTGTGAGATGGTCGTGAAAGCATTGTAAATTCATCATGTCTGCAGTGTATTTTGGTGTTGTTGGTAGGATGATAGCCTGTATAGCAGTTTTGATGGGTGAATCCAGACCATAGGATGGTGCTTTACAAAGATGTGAGCATTTCCTACTGGGCGGAATGAATTGATGGGGAAAAGACATCGCATATGATAATGTCCTAGCATGAATGTCAAAAAAAATGAGATGCCGAGTGAAATAGGCTTTTTGACATGCCACACCATTGGGATATCTCACGCTCCCCTCGACCACTCATTTTCCACAGAGGGCTGCCGGTCGCGTCCAATCTGCGCTGGAAAAACATGGTCAGTGTGACGAATACCATCTTCAATCGCACGTCCAGGAGTCTGCTCATCATCTTCTTCAGCCTCTTCCTCGATGCGATCCGAGTAGCGATTGTAGCCAGGAACATAGTCAATAGCACGTCGGGAGTCAGCATCACCGCCTTCGTCGCCAGCAAGGACGCGAGAAAGGCGGTCTGGAACAATTTTGTGAAGCCACGAGTCCTTTTGGGTAGGTATGGCGATTATGGCAAACTGCAGGGCAGTGTCAGCACATGCAGCCCCTCATGGGAAAAACTCTCGTTTGGTGCCACGAACCTGCCAGAGAAAGACCATACCCACAACCGTCATGAGTAAGCCGGCAATCTTTTGCTCCTCAGCTTTCCACGCAACCAGGCATCCGCTGGCTCTACCATGGTACGTGGCTTCGCATGCACGCGAATCATGGGTGCGGTCTGGAAAGGGCCAAGCCATGTCACGTGAGTTTACCAGGCCGCAGCAACTAAAGGCATCCTGGATCTGTCGAATGGCGGTTGCATCCTTGTGCTTGAACAGCGTCTGCCAGCGCTCTCGCAGACCGCAGTTTAGGCTGGAGGCAGGAGCGACGTGGGTGCCTGACAGGGTGATGATGACAGTTGAGTAGATGAAGATGAGCGTGTTGGCGATGATGACCAGCGGAGGCCGCTGAATGTCACCACGGCCCAGTCGCTGGCGGCGCTCGCGGCGACGGGTCAGGTCATAGCCCAGTTCGAGAAGCAGGCCAGAGACAATGGGAAGCGCCGTGGTGAAGCCGGTCAGCGTCTCTGCGATGGGAACGGAACGGGCGTTCGCGCGGGAGGCAGCGTAACTGAGAGTGTTAGCGCTAGTAAGTGGGCTAGCATGGCTGGCTAGCTGGCGAGGGATTGAGAGTGCAAAGCGATACATACCCAGCAAGCGCAGCCGCAATAACGAGATACTGCGGGACAGATGGTTAGCAGGGTGCAAATAACACGTGGGTGGGGTTTTAGTGACAGTCTGGGCCGGCTTACTACGACACTTAGGCATGTGACGATTTGCTTCTTGGTGTATGTCATGCTGGAGCGGGTGGGTTGGTTCGGGCTGCTAGTGCGGATATGACGAGAGAGACGGGTGGCTGGGATATTTTAAGTGTACGTGAGAGATGTTAGGAGGGAGGGGAGAGGGAGGGGGGAGAGAGAGGAAGAGGCACATGTCACGGCACAGACAGAGGGGGGGAGGGCGGCTATAGGCAAACGGCGGTTGAGGCCTATGGTTGCACAAGACCAGGGCGGCCCCTCATCTTCCCATTCGGCAAAGAGCATGATGCAACAGCTTTGTCGTATCAGCCTGGTTGGTCGATGTCAAGATGATGTTGATAGTCTAGAATGTGTGGTGTGGTGTATGCGTATATGCAGCAGGCCAGGCACCTCACGTCCGCGGACGGGGCTGGCTGGGCTGGCCACGACATAACACGAGAGGCCACGCAGACACAGACACGGTCGACGGTTACTGCCCGATGACGCAGCAATGGAGCTGCAGCATGAGGGCGACTAGAGCACTCTAAACGCAGGACGGCGTGGGCGACGGCGGCGTATCACCCTCGGCCAGGTGGTGAGAGCAAGTGAATGGTGGTGTGTGGAAACAGCGGGGTGCACATGAGGCGACGGCGTGTGATTGGCTAGCGGACGGCTAGTGGGCGGTTGGCCGTGCCTGTGTCTTCTCGATCTCTCGATGCCAAACTTTTGCTCTGCGACGTCATGCCATGTTGCCCATCGCACACACCATCCAGTGGGGCCTTTTGTGTACATCTCCCGAACCTCTCCAGCATTCCCCAGTCCCAGATTCGACCGTTTGCTTCCCCTCAAACTGCCGGCGAGCTGCACCCTCGTCCCACTGGCTAGAAGCAATCTGACGGACTGGACTGACGGACTGACGGACTGGCGGGCTGGCAGACGGCACTCTGCTCCCACATGCACACTCGCGCAGCTGCTCCTACCTGCACCCGTGCAAATGGTCGTCATCCAGCCTGTCCGTATTCATGGATGCCCGTGGTCAGTGCTCGTTTTGCAGTCTGCAAGCCCTGGCCTGCCTGATTTATCCCCACCTAGTGTTATTATGTGTGCGTGTGTGTGATGCCAGCCTTCAAATGCCAGCCGAGCCCCTTTGCTGCTTTGCTTTACTTTGCTTTGTTTTCGACTAATTCACTCCCCCCCTAGTCTGACCCGACTTGACTTCAGCTCGGCACTCACAACTGCCCGCTGGTGACACCTGCTCGTCATGCTTCTCTTCTCCGCCCCGCCATGCGACTCTCTGCTGCCTCGCGGCCCAGCAAAGCAAACGGTCTCTAAGCGACTCGCCCTCCCTTTTTGGTCCACCACACCTGCCTCTATTCCTCTCTTGCCGCGCACCCCCAAAAAGAAAGCCTCGCGCCCACCACCACCACAAGGGAGAGGGAAACAATCCGCCCTCCAGACTAAACCCACCCAAATGTCCCACCATGCAGACTCGTCGCGCTCCTCGACTTTTGCACCCACCTTGGGTAGCATTCCAGAAGTCTTCGAGTACGACCCTCTAGACGCTCGGCACCGCCCAGCCTCGCTCAATGACGTCCCAGAGACCCCTGACGCATTCTTGCCAGAGGCCTCAATCGCAAGCCCACCCGCTCTCACCCGCGCCACTTCATGGCCTGCAATCATCCAGGCCCCTTCCCGAAGAGTTGCTTCCTCGCTTGCTGTTTCAAAGGCCCTCCGCAGGATTCTCGAGGCTGATCGAGCCCGAAGAAGGCGCATCATGAAAGCCTACCTAAAGGCTATTGTTTTTCTCAAGTACCTCTGGCATGCCAATGAACGCTACGGACATGTCATGGCCACCACCGGCATGTACATGCAACGGTGACAGGAGTCAGCAAAAGTCGGTTTCACAGGCGTTATCAGGCAGGAGTTTCACGGGCATGGACGCAAAACTATGCGACTCCATCACGATTGTACACGATTGAACGGTGTAATGAATAGCAGCTGCAAACGGCGCATGGATATGGGCATTTGGCTGCTTGAAGCTCAGAGTGCCATAGGTTGCGGCTACGCAGTGTATGGAAAAGGGCGCCTTCTTATTTTTTCTTCTCTAATACCCATGTTGTGAATCTATTCCCTACTCTTACTGTAGTGCACTATTCAACTTTTGCACCATTACCAATATCGTCAAACTCAGGATGTATATTACACACCCCAACTCTGCATCCTATCCACCAATACAATCAGCATGCGCTTCGCAGTTGGACAGGATCCAGCGAATTTAAATGTGCGTTTAGAGAGGAAACTAGAAATTTGCTTAGTATACAAATTATCGCAAATAGCCGACTAAGAATCGCCCAGCATTCCTGCAGTATTTCAATTACCCTATTCCCCATTGGCTGCCGGCTATAACCAGTGGTAATCGCGCGAGTCATGCGACGCCTGCTTTCATCCCACCCTTTGTAACACCCCACACATTACCATCTCAAGTTTCATCGCGTATAGTTTGGTTTATGGGCACAAAGATAAACTCAAAAAATCTCTAGCTATTGTATATTACCATATTTTTCACTTTCTTGCTCTCAGATTGGAGCAAGAAGGATTCTTAATGAACCGTTTCACAGTTAGTCCCGCGACCCGAATCTTATACAGCCGAGGATCAGCTTGCCGCCCAGAGGGGTAGGTCGGCATGATAGACGACGGCTCCCAGAATTCATGCAACTCTCCATGCTCCCAGATATCCACTCATGATGCGGGTGTTTGTGCAAACTCCATGGCGCTCCTGTTCCAATCTTCTCCTTTCAAAACGTCTTTACCAGACACGGCGAAGATGTTTCGCTTCAGCCAATGGCCCAAGTATCAAGGACATAACAGTTATTGACCATCACTACGAGTAATGACGCCCGCTTCGCTCCTAGTGTCGCCCTGACCACTACTAACAAGTCCAAAGTGCAATCGTCGTCGGAGCAGGAGGAGCAGGTCTCCGCGCAGCCCTTGGTCTCACCGAAGCTGGCCTCAAAACCGCATGTGTATCCAAGCTATTCCCCACCCGCTCCCACACCGTCGCCGCCCAAGGCGGCATCAACGCCGCCCTTGCAAACATGCACAGGGACGACTGGCGATGGCACATGTTCGATACCGTCAAAGGCTCCGATTGGCTCGGTGACCAAGACGCAATACACTACATGACACGCGAAGCCGTTCCTGCAGTCGTCGAACTGGAAAACTACGGTATGCCTTTTAGCCGGACAGAGCAAGGTACTATTTATCAACGGCCCTTGGGTGGTCAGACCCTCAACTATGGAAAAGGTGGACAGGCGTATCGGACTGCTTGTGCGGCCGACCGCACGGGGCATGCTATGCTTCATACGCTTTATGGACAGAGTTTGAAAATGGGGGTGCAGTTTTTTATTGAGTGGTTTGCGCTTGATCTGATGATGGTGGAGGGGAAATGTGTGGGTATCACGGCTATGAATATGGAGGATGGGACGTGTCATAGGATGTTTGCTAAGAATACAGTGTTAGCTACTGGAGGCTACGGGCGAGCATACTTTAGCGCCACGAGCGCTCACACAAGTACTGGAGATGGTAGTGCAATGGCTGCCAGAGCCGGCCTACCACTCCAGGACATGGAGTTTGTCCAGTTTCACCCGACTGGTATCTATGGTGCAGGTGTACGTATGGTTGATTTGGCATCACTGATCCGAAACACTGAAACCGTTTTGTAGGTATTAATCACAGAAGGCGCCCGTGGTGAAGGCGGCTATCTTCTCAACTCTGAAGGCGAGGCATTCATGCAAAACTATGCCCCCATCTCAAGGAACCTCGCATCCCGCGATGTGGTCAGCCGAAGTATGAATCTGGAAATTCTCAAAGGCCGTGGGTGTGGACCCAAAAAAGATCACATTGACTTGCAGCTCATGCACCTTCCAAAATACATTATTGAGGAGCGCTTGCCAGGCATAGCGGAAACAGCGGCAATATTTGCTGGCATAGACGTAACTAGACAATGCATCCCGGTGCTGCCAACAGTTCACTACTGTATGGGTGGGATACCAACAAACTACCACGGTCAAGTTTTGGATGTAGACCGCCAGAGTGCCAAAGAACGTACTGTGGATGGCTTGTATGCAGCAGGTGAAGCGGCTTGCGTCAGTGTCCACGGTGCAAACCGATTGGGTGCCAACTCTCTCCTCGACATTGTTGTTTTTGTATGTACACCCCGGAGACGGAGTTTCCATACTCACCGTACTCTTTATTAATCTATCGATACAGGGCCGAGCAGCTGCACTCCACATCTCGTCACACCACTCCCCCGCAGCGCCGCACGAATCAACCCCGGATACCATTGGCCTCGACGCTATCCACGAACTAACTTCTTTCCTCACCCATTCCAACGGGTCGACCCCCACTTCCGTCTTGAGAAGCAAAATGCAATCTACTATGCAATCCACCACGGCCGTCTTCCGCACTCACGATACTCTTGCTGAGGGCCACGCTCAACTCCACTCGCTAGAGAATCAATTTGCTGCAGATCTTCATGTGACTGATAAATCGCTGATTTGGAACTCTGACCTCATCGAGACGCTAGAGCTGCGCAACCTACTCACAAACGCTACGCAGACGAGTACAGCAGCGTTGAAGCGGACAGAGAGCCGAGGTGCACATGCACGAGAGGACTTCAAAGAGAGAGACGATGCACAGTGGATGAAGCATAGTCTTACGTGGCAGCGTAGTGTTGGTGAGGAGGTCGAGTTTGGAACAAGGGAGGTGGTCATGAAAACCTTGGACGAGAACGAAGTAGCGAGTGTGCCACCTAGAAAGCGATACTATTAGCTATGGGCGCATTAGCCTTTTCTTTTCACTGAGATATACACAGCTATACTAGATATAGAGCAAACAGTTAGTAGCATCCGCCCCAACACAATGCCCAGTCTGTGTACGCGTCCGCAAAACAAACATAATTCACCTTGCAGTTTATGACTAAGCGAGGGCTACACAATGCATTCGCCAAGAGGGAGGAAAAATAAATAATTGCTGCGCTTTTCAGCGCCCAAGAGAAAAGCAAGGAACACAGCATTAGAGAGTTGCCAAGGCGAAGAGAGGAGCTGAACGCATTTTCCTTATCAGGCTAATGATCGATCACTTGCATGATAAAGGCATGCGTATTCAAGTCCAATATGGAGAGAAAAGAAACTCAAGATTGGTAAGCTGGGACATAACAAGAGGGGAGAGGTACATACGTTCTCTATATCAGAATCCTGATCGGCCGACTGCATGATGCGTATGTGCAAGCCTGACGCGAAGAGAAAAGGTGTCCGAGATCGAGAAGATCTACATCACGTTGCTTGTCACCTAATGAGCCACCGATAATCTCAGAGTCATGATTGATTACTGGGTACTTGTATGAGCCATCAGGAGTATCGTCTTGATTTATCGATATCCCATGTCAGCATAGTTCTTACAACGTCGCTACTAACGTATGGTAAGGTGGTACCTTTTCAATTCACTTCCATGAGCATTTCGCTAGAAATGTGCGCTTTCTCAATACTATTCATGGGCTGGAATATGATGAATATCACACCGTAAAAAGAATGCCAGGGGTGAAAAAGCGAGTCAAACATTTCACGTCTGTTGATCAGAGGCCGCCAATCGATGAATTGCATAATGCACGCAAGTCTGCTGCGAGAAGAAGGAAAGATCAGCAATGGTGAGCCAAGAAGAAAACTAAAAGGAAATGCCTAGTTCAGCTGGCAGCAGGAAAGTGGCTTGAGGTGCGACTCACTTTCATGATTGTCTTAGTATCGCAAAATGCAAGTTGTACGCAAGGCATGCGTCATGCAATTGTACAACTCAACATTCGAGGGGGCACGGACATGCGGGCATGAGGTATGTGGAATTTGCAGTAACCTTGAGGTTGGCCTGTTTGGTCTGTTACTTTTACTATAAAGTCAATCCCTCACGACACGGTGTGGCTTCCACCACAATCAGACATTTTGTGCTCTTTCTTGAAACCAAACTTTCTATCACGTTACTCAACAGCAACAACAACATCGTCTTTGCAAGATGTCTGAACAACCCCTCTCAATGGAGCAACTCGAAACCAAAGCCTTTGAAGAAGTGGTAAATCTTCTTACTAAGTTACCCACGCCCGACGAAACCGCTTACGACATTGAAAAAAACACCGTCAGAATTTTCAACGACAGCGAATTTAGCACCAACTATCATGACATTGACATTGAAGAATCTTTGAGCGACGTTCGCCACAAGATGTACAATAATCTTCATAGCCAGGCCAATTGGATTTTGTGGAACCTGCCATTGGGTACAGTCATGACTTTGACGGAACACAACAACACTCTCGAGAAAGGCCAGTCAGTGTTTGATCTCAATAATTCCGGACGATGCATTGACTTGGTCGGTACCGGGAAGACGGAAGCAGTGGACCTTGGAAAGATGGGTATGGAGGATTGCATCAAGGGGTTCTTCTGGCGGAAGGTGGATTTGAGGATGGGGGCATTTGAGCTTTGGGACTACAAGATGCAGGACACCAAAAAAAACGAAATGGGAGCCCGTCAAATCATATTCCTGGGAGAGTGGGCGCCAGACACTGTCCACGCGTTGTGGAACTGGAACATGACTGATAGAGTCAGTTCTGCGCGCTGGAACTCCCTTGTTGACCGACAAACCGTTACTCTTTTCGAACATATAGATGGTGGGGGAAGTCGGTACGAAAACATCAAGGGATGGGGCAAGCACAAGGAAGAGAGGGATTTCCACAACCTCGACTTTGGAGACAAGGTCAGTTCGTTCAGATGGCACTCCATCACCCCTATCAAGGAAGAGGTTAAGCCCATCATCATCCTGCCGGATCATTCCCGCAGCACCATAGTGACCGGCGACAAGAGCGGGACAAACGACGGTGCTCAAATACTACCAAGCAAAGTCACCATCATGCAATCCAAAACCCGCGAAGTCACCGTCGAGACCAGCGACACGACCGCCGGATCCGTCAGCGCCGAGCTGAAAACCACAACGAAAGCCGGCGTCGAAGGCGTCGCAACCATGGAAGTCGAATGGACCCTGGCCGTCCAACACAGCTGGTCTCACACTGCAACCACCAACACCAAAACCGCCAAAACCGACGCCATCAGCATCGAAGAGGGCTTCAACGTCTCCCCCCACTGCACCTACACCGCCAGACTCGAGGTCCGCGTCGGCAAACTCGAAAATAAACTGTACAAGACCACCGCCACCCGCTGGTACAAACAGCCTGTGGTGGGCTCCACCAAGGACGGCCATCTCTACAAGCGCGACGAACCCGTGTATGTAAATGTGTCCGGCAGTCTGCATTTCACCACACACCTCGATTACCACGAGAAGGAGATTCCAAAATCGATAGTGAACCAGGCGATTGATCAGGGCCAGAAGGTGGGCAATGGGGTAGTGGATAAGGGGCAGGAAAAAGCTGGGGAGTTGAAGGGTAAGGGGCAGAAAATGTTCGGGAAGTTGACGGATACTGGAATTCCAGGGTAAGTTTCGTTTAATTCTACAGCTTTTTTTTGTTTTTTCTTTCTTCTTTTCGGATACTAGCAAAGGGGACATGAGTATAATCAGCTTACTAACCAACAATATGTGATTAGAATGATTTTTTAAGTACTCGGCACGACACCCTCCCCCTTCCTCCCTCAAGCTACAATCATATGTAGCTTCGCATCTCCTCTCCCTATAACTATTTTACTAGGTTTCCTGGATATTACTTGTTTCGAAAAAAGTTTTACTTAGGCTACTACTGTTCTAGGATAGGTGATGCCCTATCTCTATAAAGGTAAGAAGGAGGCGGAGTAAGGGGGCAGAGCTATAAAGGGAACTACAAGTACTATTCTATTTAACTTAGCTGCGATATGGTGTAGGACCTTTAGCAACACAATTCTATTAGCACTCTATAGATTTTCTACAAGGGGCAAGCCTATCACAGCTACGAAGATAACCTAATCGAGCTAGAGAACCACTAAACACTAACTGTCCTTGACATGTTGAACGCGTGTAGATAGTTTTGAGCCGTGAGTTCTTACTATAGAGGGGACGAGGTACCTTATCCTTTTTCCTTCACGATGCTAATAGCCAAGGGGCAGAAGGGCGCTGAATGAACTCGTGAGCCGTACATGAATTGAAATGATGCGCTACTCTAGCATCAGTTATTCCATTGTATTATGTTCGAGCAACCTGTACGACACAAGAAGAAGAAGAAGAAGAAGTAGTCTATCACGCCATTGTATTGAAATGCGCGTATGCAAATGCCCGAAACAGAAAAGAGACATCATTCCTCACCTTCAGAAACCTAAATCTTGTACATAACACACCAATGTAGTTTGGAGACGTCAAACCCCAAAGATCCAAACTCTAAGTACACTTGGTCAGCATAGCGGGGTTCCAACCATCATAACCCGACCCAAGCCGCTCAACCAACCCCAACCCCGCTTTCGGTGGTACTACCATTCAGCATCGAGACGAAAATCCTTCGGGCTTACATTACCTTATCGCCTCATTCTGTAGCATTGGTATAAGCGCATATACACGTGTTAGTGCCAGGCTCGCTCGAACATATGGGGGTCTTCATACCAATCGGCTGGGGTTCCGCACTAGCACGGTTCTTCTACCTGCCACGCTTTAGTACACACCCCACGTCCCGGATATGGGAGCGGGGTCGTGATGTGCGTAATAGACAGGCGGATTGAGATAAGGGTACTTGTTTGGAGAAGGGGGGGAGGGGGGGGGCACATATCTCGAAGACGTGCTTGATCTGTTGCTTTATCATTTCCCCAACACTATTTTTCCCGAGTGGTAGTAGATAGATTTTACGTATAGTCGATTGTTTGTATAAGGGCAATCATGTTTCGACAGCATCTCAGCGGAAAGGGATTACAATGCGTATACGGCAGACGAAACCTCGCTCATGGCTTTGGTAGATCTGGGATCCGGCTCAGCTCTACGACTACGCTTCCACGGACAAGAGAGATGGCGAGACATGCGCCGGCTCAGCAACGAGCACAATACCCGCTTTCGGTGATGCCGACGCACATGTTACTCCGGTCTCTATTCATTGCGACTATATCATCGAACAGGTTCTTATTGATACCGTCGCTAAACCTCTTATCTTTCCTATCGAAACCAAATCAGAATTTCTTGTTCAATTTGGATCGAAATCCGTTTTTGAAGGCAGTTTTGAAGAGGACCTTGTATAACCAGTTTTGTGCGGGAGAAACAGAGCAAGAGACACAAGCTTGTGTCAAGCAACTCAAGGATCTGGGGTTCAAAGGAGTCATCTTGACGTATGCGAAGGAAATGGTATTTGATCACAAAGCAGGCTCTACCAAGGATCATAGTTTGGAAAAAGGTGTTGATGGAAAGGCTGTGGTGCATGATGCGGATATTGAGGCGTGGAGAGAAGGGACGCTGCGGACGTTGGATTTGATTTCCAAAGGCGATATTTTGGCATTGAAGTCAGTGAACCGCTTGTTGAAGAGATGAGACGTAAAAGAGAAAATCAAGACTAACGTCTGAGTAGGACAACAGGCGGCGGCCCAGCCGTATCCGCTGCATTCAGCCAAGGCAAACTCCCACCCCAGCAAATGCTCTCGGCCCTCGACGAGCTAGCTACAAAATGCAAGCAACGCGGCATCCAAATCATAATCGACGCCGAGTCCCAGCACTGGCAGCACGGAATCGCCCGCACCACCTTGGAGTTAATGCGGAAATTCAACCGCGGAGGCAAAGCAGTCATATACAACACTTACCAAGCCTATCTCAAAGAAACACCCGCTGTAGTCCAGCAACACATGGCCGAAGCCGAGAAAGACGGGTTTACCCTGGGCCTAAAGCTTGTGCGTGGCGCATACATTCTCTCTGATAACCGCGCCTTGATCCACGATACGAAGGAAGATACAGACAACGCGTATAATACTATAGCGCAGGGCGCTCTCCGCCAGCGACTCGGTCCTTTTGGAGGCAAGTCTCGCCCCTTTCCGTCGGTGAATCTGCTCCTCGCGTCACATAACCGCGAATCCGTGATGGCGGCTAGCGCACTGCATCGCCAGAGGCTGGAAGCTGGGCTGTCCACTGTGCCGGTTGCGTATGGGCAGCTACACGGCATGTCGGATGAGGTTAGTTTCTCGCTGCTTGCAGAAAAGGATAAGGGTGGCGTGTCGCCGGAGGTGTTCAAATGCACTACCTGGGGTAGCATGGGCGAGTGTGTGGGGTATTTGCTTCGGCGGGCAGTGGAGAATCGCGATGCGGTGCTTAGGACGAAGGATGAGTTTGCGGCGCTGAGGAAGGAGGCTAGGAGGAGGTTTCTGTGGGTGTAAATGTAATGTGTGAATTCCACGAGTTGTGCTGAGAGGCCTCGACCCATTCGTAGTCATAAAATTGGCTAGAAGAAGATTAGTGTGCATGCATCAATAGTCTATCTCTAGGTGTTAGTCGTTGACATTAAGATCGTTTGTGGGACATGCAGTTGATCAAGACGCTCATGCAAAGTACAAGGGCGTGAATCTAAAGTTCTGTAGTGGCTAGCTCACCCCTCACCATTTGATCGAATTAGGAAAATGTATTCCCTTCCGAGATAGCGCTAGCTGCAACATCGTCATAAAAGACATGCAGGACAAGCAATTGAAGTTCAACAGCGGCAACGTCAACTTATCAAAGACGAATGACGAATTAACCCCTCCCCCGCTTTCTTTTCCTGGAAAGATCGAGGTGCTCTAGGTCAGCGAAAGAACAGGATCAGACACCCTACCCACCCACCAATCTCCAAACCCAGACTCTCACGACAACAAAAGGCATCATGACCCAAAACAGACTCTGCATCCTAGGCTGCGGTAAACGCCTTTGATCTCCCATCCCTCTCAAATCAGCGTACTAACCACTACCAGGCAACCTCGGCACCCCCATCCTCACAGGCCTCCTCAACTCACCCAACCCCACTCAATTCACCCACTACACAGCCTGTATTTCCTCTGCTGCATCCGAATCCCGCCTCAACACTCTCTTCGCCGCACACATAGCAACGGGGAAACTATCCATAGCCCGCTCAACCCCCTCCATCGCCGACGCAATCCAACACTCAAGCGTAATCCTCCTCGCTGTCGACCCCTCCCAAGTAACCTCCCTCCTCCTCGCTGTCGACCCCTCCCAAGTAACCTCCCTCCTCCTCAGCTCCCCCTCCATAGCCTCTGCCTTCCACCTTCCACCCCCCAACGACAGCACTGAAAAAGGGAAGCTGGTAATAAGCGTAATAGCCGGTCTCTCCACGACTTCTCTCTCTTCTCTCCTCTCTCCAACCCCATCCCCTTCCCAGTCCACAAATGCAAGCATACCCACCCCCGAACATGAACTCCACATCCTCCGCGCCCTCCCCACCATCCACGCCCAAATCTCCCACTCCCACACCGCCATCCAACTGCCCCCTAGCCCCTCCGATCCCCCTTTCCCACCCACCCACCTCGAAACTGCCACATCCCTCTTCTCAGCAATCGGCACCACTACCCTCGTCCACGAACACCACATGGCCGCCACAACAGCCGTAAGCGGCTCCACGCCGGCTTTCTGGGCTGTAATTGTGGATGCAATGGTGGATGCGGCGGTTGCAGTGGGGTTACCGCGGGGAATGGCACAGGAGCAGGTGTATAGGAGTATGGCGGGGAGTGCGGCAATGTTTTTGGCGGGGTGGAAGACTGGCGAGGTGAGAGATATGGGGACGAGTCCCGAGGGGTGTACGATTGGGGGGATCATGGTGTTGGAGGAGATGGGGGTGAGGGGCGCGGTGGGGAGGGCGGTGAGGGAGAGTGTTACGATTGCTAGGGAGATGGGGAGGGAACAGGATCGGGGGCAAGGAGGGGGGAGACATGTTAATGATACAAGGAGGGTGTGAGAACATGTACTGTATTGTTAATGAATTATAGTAGACAGATGGGGAAAAAACATCACAGGAAGAAGACAACAACAACAACAACAAAAATACGCATCATCAGCATCTGATTCAACTACCACTATCTACTCACTAGATGTAGCGCTGCACGTCATCAACCGCCGTAGCGTAAACGTACACTGCACCAAGGGTATTGTGGCGTGCGAGCCAACTTGAAACTCCTTTCCTGCCTGCAATCCGTTTGACCATGCTAAATGCACCCTTTGCTGCAAATCGAGGATATTTCCCACCTGTTGCTCAACCGAGCAAGCTTCCCAGTGATAATTGTTAACGCCAAGATTGGTAACATGTAACAAAAGAGATGATAAAAAAAGAAACGCCAACAAGTAAACCAATTAGGTAAACTAGAGAGCTAAATAGCTGCAAAATCAAACATGTGTTGTACACCCTTTTGTGCCGTCCCAAAACTAGGAAAACGTACACTGTCGAGTGGTTTAGACGTGGTTAAAGAAAATATACACGGGCGTGTAGAGAGACTGTGGATGTGTTGATGTGGATGTGAAGGGTAAAAGTAAATCAGTAGGGGGGTTGGTGTTACCTTGCCCTTTCTTCGTTAAGCCTTCTCTTTTTGGCTTTTCAGTACTCGTAGACAATATGTCATATTCATAGGATACCAGCCCACATGCCAGGGCCTTGCGGGCGATATGCCTGTGCGGCCTCTGTGCTGCAGCATGATCTTTTCTTGCCAAAGTCCTTCTGGACCGGGAGACGCGAGCAACCAGGCGCGGTGTTCTTAGGGGACTGCAGCCCCTTCGGTTCACTGCGCGAGGTAAAGGCGAATGGCTGTACAACCGATCGGTCGGGAAGGACAGTCTTGTGGCGAAGATCAAATGCAGAGCGGGTCGTGTGGAGGAGGTGTCGCACGTTTTGCTGGAGATCAACAGATGACCTTCCGCGCTTACGGCTAGCAGGAGCAACAACGGCAGGGCTCGCAACCTTGGCAGGCGAAGAATCCGAATCATCAATGTGGAAGCTATCCAGATCGGGAGAGGACAAGGCCTCGCTCGGGGCGTACTCGTATTGCTCCTTGCACTTGGACAACGTCGGGTACGGCAGTTTTGCGCTGCGGCAGGTCGCCAGTCGGGCCAAATTGGCTTGACTTTGGTTTGGCGCCCAGCCGGCGGATGAAACTGACGAGATTGACGAGGCACGTGAGGAGCGTGAGTTATCCGAGATCATGGACTCTGGAGATGATGATAGGGAACCGTTGGAAGCAGCCAAGGAAGGTCGTCGGCTCGGGAAGTGGTAGGCTTCCAGACCGTTCTTGATGCTCGGGTTGAACTGATCCACGCAAGAGCGCGCCAATGAGGAGCACTGCGCCTGTTGCATTGCTGTGCACATGGACGGACGTCGCAGTCCAAAAGACATGGCACCCGCGACAGGGGTGTTGTTGGCGATTGGCTGCGGTGTCAGTGAAGGCGTGGGCAGAGGACCCAAGCGAGCCATGGATGGCAGGGATGGTGTGCGAACAAGGTCTGGCTTTGGCTCCAAGAAGCGAGGCACCTGGTAAAGAGACGGTGTTGGCGTGCTTTCTTGCGATCCACATCTGTCAAGAGATGGCTGGCGGTAGGGCGACGCGTTCAGCTGTGTCCTCAATGGCGGGCGAACAGGAGCGTTGGAAGCCTTAGGGGTCACCTCAATGATATCCAGCTCAGGTGTCAACATGGGAATAACATCTTTCCAGTGGTTGGGAATGGAAGCTCCGGGTGAAGGAGGGGGAAGGGTAGGAGTATATCGCAAAACGACCTCTTGCCACTTCTCCCATATCGAGTCCACAATGTGGAGTTTCCAGTTCACAGCCTCGAGGAAAGCCATTTCGTTGGTGTTGATCTCACAAACCTTGAGGCCAGAGATCTTGCTCCACGCGCGAGCCGAGTAGTTGCGGTCCTGCAGGTACTTTGATGCGAGGATGAGCGCAGCAAGGAACATGCGACGACCACACTGGAGGGCGCGAAGAGAAGCATCTTCAGGCTGTGACATGGTGAAGTCATGCTTGGGCAAGTGGGGCTTGATGAGAATCAAGTAGTACAGAGCAACCTGGAGCGTAGAGTAGCTGGTGCGCGATCGGCGGAGAGTCTCCTGGATAAACATGCGAAGAGGAAGTACCCCGCGTCCAGAAGCATTCTCACAGCGGCTCTTGGGCTCAGACAGCTGCCAGATGACCTCTACCATTTGAGTAGCGGAATCTTGAAGGAGGGAAAAATCAGCGGGGTGGTCTTTGGGCCATGGATAAAGTGGGTACTAACCGACGAGGCAATCGACGAAGTTGACCTTGCGATCAGATTGCCGGACGAGCTGGGGTGGAGGTCTTTGGTTGACGTTCGCCGATGATCGACGTGGATTCTGTCGCTGCTCCAGTGGGGCCAGGAACTCTGCACGCAGAGAAGGGAGCCTCTCTGGCATAGAGTCGCGACATACTGCATGTTGATACTGAGGGAAAGTGCTTACTCTGCTAAGTTGTTGAAAGGCAGACAGGCTGGTGGGGTCAACAGTAGATGTCTGTGCGGCCTGGCTGCGACTCCATTCTTCAGAGTCCCAATTGGAATGGGTTGATCTGGAACTTGCGCTGGATGTTTGTGATGCAGCGTCTGAGAATACTGATGAGGTGGAAGAGGATGCCGAAGAAGAGAGGGGGGCGGCATATGGGTGTGTTTCGGGCAAGAAGCCGTAGTTTGAACGGGGGATATCGAGACTCATGTTTAAGAAAGTGTGTGTGTGTGTGTGTTTAGACAGGACTGGGACCTGATAAAGAGAAAGGACAATAAAGGAAGGAGTGGAGAGGTGTGGCTATGCTTTGTCACTACGTCTTCGAGTGCTGACCGTTAGGTAGACCTGAAGAGGTGGCGAAGAGCGTGATGAGGTGGTCGTGGGGTGACCGAGGACTTAACCGATGGGACAAACCGTAAGAGGGCGACCCTGTGTCTTCTGACGTATGTTCTTGAGATCTTGATCCGGATCGCTTAGCACTCGGTGATCACGGGTGGAGTGACTGTACGAGTGGTGTGATTGCGGTCTGGAGAGCTCGAGGAGCGTGGAACGTAAGAGGATCGAGGGGTGGTTGACGAGATCGCAAATGGTAGGAAGATTCGAACAGTGTCAAGTGGTCGAAAAAAGCTGCCAGATGCGTTACCAGAGAAAAAGACTCCAGTCACTGTCAACTGCAGAATCACCGAAACAAGACCGTTGTAGGAGACTGTCCGCGAAGCACTCGGATGTTGCAGCTATTGCACAGCGGGGTGGGCGCCGTGGGACGAGCTGAAAGCCTGAGGGGATGCGGGGGGAGTCTAGCAAGCGAAGCCTCCGATGAAGGCCTTGTTTCCGAAAGTAATGGTGAATTCTGAGTGACGAGTGACTGAAGCAGTGTAGGCCGAATAGCACATTGTGGTACTGGAACGCGATGGGTGAAGTGTTCGAGAATGGTGACTACCGTGCAGCGGTAACACCAAACTGGAGCGACTTGGCGCGCGCTGGCAGTGGGATGGTGGGGAACGAGAAGGTCGAAGAGATTGTGTGTGGTTGGTTGGTTGTGTGGTGAGTGTGTGGTGTATTACTATTGGATGGTGGTGTACATGTAAACTGGTGGGAGGAGGTGGGAGGAGCTGAGGTTCTGACGTGTGAGGAAGTGGCGGTCGGAGAGTCGGTAAAGGTGGGAAGGCGCGAACAGCAACGGTGGCAGGGAAGCGGTATCGCGACGCAGGTACGGGACAGATGGAGAGAGGAAAGGAGGGCAGAGAATGCGGCTCTTGGGCCTTTTTCTCTCGTCTTGGGGGCGAGTGAGTAGGGACGAGTGAGGATGAGTGTATGAGTGGTAGGCTGTAGGCGGCAGTGTGGCGGCGACGGGCGGTCGTGCGGTGACTGCTACCTGGACAAAGGCGGGAGGCGGGCTAGGCGGCAGAGGGTGATGGCGACAGAGAACAGACGACACTGTGGATGAGACAGACCTAGTTCAGGCCCCAGGGCGCGCTGTAGGGAGTCGTGAAGTCCATTTCTGCTGTCTTGATGAGGGAGGACGGGCTGGGCGGCAGTCTGGCGATACTAATAGGAACCCCCGTACCCTCCTCGCAACGCCGCCCCCGGTCTAGTCATTGCCAGGTCGGGCGCTTTGGCCAGCTTGCCTGTTTGCCACACAGCAACGCGACCTGGCCAAAGACTCATCGCTCTGGCGCAGGGTTTTTTTTCTTTGCTTTGCCTCATTGTTGTTCCCACGTGCTCTGTGTGCAGCCCGTCGCCACTTGGGCACACGCCCATGCAGCCCGTGGATTGTTCCTGTGTGCTGTCTCCATCCATGTTGAGAACGTCTACGTCTTCTCTCTGCCTTTCCTGGAGCAGCTTCTTGTCCGCATGCAGAGTAGCGAACATGCACTGCGGGTGCAGGAGTCCAACGCAAAGGGGCGTGAGACGCTTCCGCCCATCCATCATCACGCATCCATCCACTGGCCGCAGTCGCATGGCATGGCCTGCCCAGTGCCGCCATGGCTGGCGCAGCTGGTACTGGTGCTGGTGCTGGTGCTATTGCTGGTTCCAGTCTGCCGTTTGCCGCCCACCTGGCTCCCTGGCTCCCCGTCTCCCTACGCGACCAACTGCACTGGAATGCGCTGCGACGCGGCGACGACCAAGGGGCCCAGCTGCTGCGACACACGGCGTCCCCTTTTGGCTGCCACCATGGACGCGTCTGCTCTCCAACGCTCCGTGCCAGAGTAGCGCGGGACGGCGGTTTCTGACGTGACACCCTCGTCGCTTGCCCTCAGCTGGGTTGAGATGAGGGGACCGGCTGTGGCCGTGTGGCTGCGCCGTCATTGGCCCCATGTACGCGCGCTAGGCCGCAAACAGGCTGCTCTGTGCCTTGGACGTGCCGTGCATGGCCTTTGTGTACCGCCGACGCCTCAATGGCTGCTGCGACGTTCGTAATCTCATCATGCGACGATGCAATTCCAGTTCCATGTTCATTTGGCTGCTCCCCCGGCCAAATGCCTTGCTCGCCCCCCCCCATGACGCACACAGGTGCAGGCACACACGCACACAAGTGCAGGCACACACACACACACATAGCGTTCCTGTGCCATTCTCGTCGGCCTACCTCTCCGACACTGCCCTCCTCGCTCGGAACGCGACTTGTTCCGGTGTGGGCGGAGCGAGGCCGGATGCAAATGCGCTAGCCACCCCCGCTTATTGCAACTGCAACACTGCCAGCAGCCCAGCGTAGTGCAGTGCAGCCCGCCACCAGGCCTCCCCCAGCCATGGCCTCGATCCACGGCTGCGAAAAAAAATCATTCCCGCATGTGCACTATCAACACCACCACCACCATCATCATCATGACTACCACCATCATCGCCATCGCCACGGGTCATCAATACAATGAGCTCGTATGGAGCCCAAGGCGGCCAAATACCGCGACTGTGGCGGTGATCATGACGATGCTGATGGGGTGAGCAAACGAGGCTATGACTCACTGCTGCCTACAACCCGAGCCCTACATATGGCGCCAAGAGCATCGTTGGGCAAGCAACAGGCAACGCCCGGCTTGGATGGCTTGGAGTCTACACCTCCTCTATCTACTCTACACACAGAGAATGTATCAGCTTTTCGTCACCGCATCTGCCAAAGACCACGGCAGACGGCATCCTTTGCACTACACGCCCGACGAACCCATCGAGGGTCCATCCATGCTCTTGCCACCACACCCTCTACTGCCCATCGCTCAAGCCCATCGCCCACCTGCTCCTCCAACTGACGCTTCTGCTTCACTCTTTTCCATGCAGCCTGAATATCGCCGCTTCCACATTGGTCAGCTGCGTCTGTATTTCTTGCACGCCCCACCTATGATTCCAACATGAACGTGACTTCTGTCCAGACTAGGAAGGACTTCCATATCCCCCCTGATTAGTCGAATCAAATCGGCCACCGACCAAGTGTAGTGTAGTGTAGTGTACAGTCATTGATGAGTAAAGAAATGCAGGCCCACCCGTCTCCACCGAACATGCACACGTGGGATGCTCGTTCCTCGGCTGGCTGCTGATAATGCGAGATGGATGCCTACGAAGATACCACTGTGTTGGACAGAGTATGTGAAGAACGCGAATACTGCAATCTGGCAAGAACCAAAGAAAAGCCATATCCGCTGTTTTCTTTTCTTGGCATATAATCCATCGTGATGCTTTTCAAAAAAGCGAGCGGGTTCGCCACTTGACTCATATGGACCCTCTGTCCGAGCACAGGGAGAAACAACAAGTATGCACGAAACAGTCAAGTTCTTGATCCTAGAAAAAGGATACGCTAAACGTGCCTACTAACCTCCAACTAATCAGAGTAGTAATCAACAGCTTCGTCACTCTAACCATCCATTTCACTCAACGCGTCGCCCCAGCCATGAATGGACACGCACCCACATCGCCTTGAGCACCGGAAACATCAACATGGCCATCCGGTACATCTTCTGCTCTCTGCCCCTCTGCCCTTTTCTTATCAATCTCGGCAATGGTCCGCTCAAACTCCTCTTTACTCTGTACAGTAGCATCAGGAAGTTCCTGTTCCTCCGGCACCTTGACACCAGCTTGCGCCTCATCCAGCGCATCCGCCGGTGATACATGGGCCAGCTTGTTCTCCTTGCTAACTACACCGTGCGGCGCAATCTGCCTAAACATGTCCATAGGGTCAAACCACGTCCTCACCTCGCGCAACTGCACCTTGTCGTTGACTGTCGCAACCGTCACGCCCTGGATATCAATGGACCCTCCGTGCGCCTTAGCTGTGACCTTCTCCCCCTTGTTGTTGAATCCCACATAGTCGTTCTTCATGATGCCCCAGTGCCGCCACCGGAAACTGACTGTTGGCGGTCCGCTGTATACCTCGAGCACCTCCCACGCAAACGTCGGCATCATGCGCTTGAACGTCTTGTGGGACGAAGCAAAGTCCGAGTATTCTGGTGAATAGTACTCGTTTGGTGCAATAACGGCATTGTACGTGCCCACTTTGAGCATAGCTTCTGCTCCCTCGGCCTCGCCCCCATTAATGGCAAACGAGTAGTTTGCAGTGTCAATGGTGCGCCAGTCAGAAATGTCTGGCTTAAACGACGCTTCCACTTCCCAGTTCTTGACTAGATTTTCGACCAGCTGGGGCAGAGACCCGGCTTCGTGTGTCTTTTGCTTTGCTGCCGTGTGGAATTAGATGAGCACGGAGATTATGACCGCACGACTCCCAAATTGGGAAACTTACTCTCGGCGTATACTTTTCGCGTTTTGGTGTAGTCTGGTGCTCTTCCATATCGCCACTTGGCCTCCTTGTCTCCAAGGACAGCGTTGGGGTTTGTGAGGTAGTCTGGTAGTGCAGGCGCTGCCTCTTCCACAGGTCGTTGCTGGACATCTGCCGCCGCCATGTTGTGGCTTGGGTATGTTGTAAATACAAGAATGGGGTCGAGACTTGGGGAAAAGATACAAAGATTGCTGGTAAGCCCGTGTGTCAAGTTCACTGTGAGCCGAGTATATGTTGCTGAGTATTCACTCTCATTTTGTATACCGAGGCGCATGCAGAATTTATATGTTTAGTCGCAACATGCTGAATAAAGTTAATGTGTCAGCAGAGTCACAGTGACCCTGTAGCTGTAGCACACGGCATCCACTCGCTAGTTTGCCAACAAAAGTACAACGGCCACCAACAACCAGCCCGGAAGTCTAGGATGGCCCCCTGGATTACTGTTACGATGAATGCGAGAGGCACAGCCATGTGGGGGATCCAGCCGTCAACCTCACCGCCGGGATAAGTTGAAGAGGAAAGTTCTATACCTTCAAGGGTCTATCGCCATGGTCATACACACATGCACTTGGCAGGACGCCTTTTCAGACGCTCCCAGACCAATGGCTATGTTCTGCATACGCGGCTTGTGAGATTGCAAGCCACTGTCACACAACAGTCCAGACTCGCAAGATGTAAGAAATAGACTCCTCGTTTGAGGTTCACAACCGCGTGATGTTGCCAAGATGGTAATCTACCGGGACGAAGGCTCTCTCCACAGTTTGCCGCGGAGAAAGATTTCAACAGAGCCAATAGACAACGTTGCTGCAGGTGGATATTGATTTGATGACTGCAGCCGATGATTGCGTCCTACCGGCATCTAGATTTCCAATAGCGAATACTTAATATTGCGGGGACAGTGAGATATCTAAGAATATTGTTGAGAGGTCTTTGCAACCTGGAATAAGTGCAGAGTCTGGCAGGGATGTATTGTGTCCTGATAATACTTCCAGAGTATATATGATCATTATCCTGGCTGTTGGACCCAACCCGTCTTCATTGATTAGCACTAGTAATCTTTCATGGACTTCCAATTGTTAAGACGATGCAGTCAACTCCATAAAAAGCATGGCTCAAAAGACCACTGGCGCCCCTGTGGTGGCGCCCTGGAAGCTAACTGTTAGCTGCAGCAGAAGACGAACTCATCAGCCGCATCGCCGAGTCCAGCCAGATGTCGATATGATTTCTTCTGAGACGTGTCCAAGTGTTATGCTGAGCTATCAAGAAACTAGCACAATGTTTATTGGTGAAGCTCTGTCGCACAGACTGGCTACTTGAGGTCGTTGACCTTTTAGCGCGTTGACGTCACTACGACATAGCGGTTCTTGGTTACAGCGCGCTTCACATGTCTACAACACTGACAGCTCTACACAATCACCTGCTTGAGCATATCGCACATAGCTCAACATGGGACGCCGTGATCGTCTCATCAGCACTTCGATCCTACGCGCAGTCTTCAAGTCCGATTCTCCTAGGAAAGACGAAAATGGACGCCTCGGCCTGTGGGCGCGCATTTACGCCTTTTTCGCCCTCTTCAACCTTACCCTTGCGCGATTTCGCGCGTCATTATTTAAGAAGCTGAGAAATGAAACGTGGGAAATGGAAGAGGAGGAATACACCGAGAGTTTCCGCAGCCCTAGTAGCAGTAAGCGGACAGACCTGATAGCAGTTGGGGACCTGGGCTATTCGGGATCGGTACACGAACCCAAGCTATTGTATGCTTGGTGAATTCTTTTACTAATCCGTAGTAGACGTTCTTCACAACGCCGAACTCCAAGTTCCTAGTCAAGTCGCTGCCACGGCATTTCGAACAGTCATTTTTCCGCAACCGTCTTCTCGATCCATATGTTGAGCACATGGAGCTCAATCAAGACTCCCTCCTGGTCCGCATAACCGATCTACTCTACTGCCCCACAGTGACTGTTGGCGCTGCACTGGGTACGGCGCCGAGTCATCACATCATAATGGAGAACATCCTTTATGGGAAATCCACTTGCAGCGAGCACCACCAGAAACAATGGGAGACGTATGATCTCAAGCCAAACGACTACTTCTACCCCGAGCGCGATATAGCAAACGGCAGACTGGCGCCGGAGAGTGTAAAGGAGCGCCTCATTGACGAGTTCAACGACAAGGTGCGGGTAACGATTGATCAAAAGGAGGAGCTGATTGCCCAACTCTCGCGAGACTCGAAGATCCTGCAGGAAAACAACGCAGTCGACTATTCGCTGTTCCTTGTCCGCTATCCAGCCAATCTTAGCACTGCCGACAATAGCCAGATCCCACCCCCTCCAGGACGTGGATCCTCATGGCGTAGTGGTCTGGTGTCCCGCGACGGCAAGTGGGTCTATAGGGCCGTCATCCTTGACTTCTTTTGGGCCAAAGATGCGCTTCAAGCCCAAACGCTGACAGGCCTGGTCAAGCTCTTCAATGCGCTGAAGCCCGGAAAGGATCATGGTCCGATGAGTATCACTACTTCGAGCGATGAATACAGGCAAAGGTTCCTTGGAATGGTCGAGGACATGGTTGAAGTATTAGATAGCACTGGCAGACCCGCAGGCGAAGTGCGCAACCATGTCGCTGTCACTGCTGGTGAGCCTTAAATCGGCGATGGGCGAGGTATGACTGCGGTCCTAGCCCGGGGAGGCCCTTTGTGTTGCAGTCTTTTGTTTGAGTGGTGGCGTTTGGATGATTTGGATGGCGGCGATACCCAACGCTTACAGTACATGGATTCTATTGGCATTCTACTCGTAATGTGTATACTACGGTGACGACTGAATGCTGGTTGAATGCTCGACTGCTGTGCAAGCCACAGAGTGCACGCGTGATGTGTGATGAAAGCGGTGAAGCACAGAAGATGGAACATGTCGTCATCGCACATGGCTCCGTAGATGCGAGTGGCCGGGGCCGCAAAGCTGACGAGCTTTGCCAACGCATTACCATTTTTACAATAGGCTAAGCTACGTATATAATCCCACAAAAGATGTACCCCTGCGTGAATGGGTACTAGCTGCTAGGGTCGTATACCCTGACCAGACAAGGCCTTGATTTTTTCGCTTACACTATACCGGCCATAGCACTCATACTAGTGGCAGAATGGGGGCTTTTTGTTACAGAATAGAAACAGTGGCGATTCTGTGGCAATTCTATATCGTATCCCAGTGTGCAAGAGAGGGTGTTGGGCACTACACGGGCATCTTGTGCGTGTGTATGCCCATGGCCTCTTCCAGTTGCGGCGTGATGATTGTGAGGCTGTTGTAGTAGAATGCCTTGAATCCTTCAGAATATGCAACATCCCCATGATGGCGACATCCATGGAGCTACTATTTCGCTCGTATAGGTCTATTTCTCACGGTACGTAGGCGTGTAGGCGATCTTCGAGATGCGGCTCCAATAGAGCAACAGTGCACGAGCCACCCGGACTACAAACGACGTCATCGCAGCCACCTCGCCAACGCGCCTGGCACTGGCTTGCCCTGAAGCATCAAACCAGGGTACATCGTGGGGTTTAAGCGCAGGTGCCCAGTGAGGATATACATACTGGGCTGATTGCCTTCTGCTCCCTTGCTCATCAAGATCCACCCGCCATATCTCACACCATCTCACATACGCACGCACCTCAGTCACCTTGCTTCTTCCAACGTCCACACTGTCAACAGCGACCTTAACTAGTCCATCGCTCCCAACTTGACGCATATTCCTCACTCTACAACATCTGCTCTCTAATCCGCCACTCTTATACCCAGACCTTCTGCAACCTGTCCTCCTAGCCAGGCTCCCCCGTCTTTTTGCTCGGCCCAGTTGAGTGCGCTCCAATCACAGTGCGGCGCATAAGTCAAACCTACGTCACATTCCCACATCCGGATTCTGTGGCCTCTTTGAAAGATGGCGGCCCTCGCCTTCAAGGCTCTTAGCTACGGCGCAGAGCAGATTCCCGACAAGTTTTTTCACAAAATCCCAGGCGGTTACTTCATCCCACAAGAAGAGAAAAACGCTAGAAAGGACCGCAAAGACCGTCAGAAAAACGAGACCAGACAACGATACAGGAGCGAAGACCACTCGAGCGCGCGCCGCTCACGAAGAGACCTCAGCCCAACCGACCAGTCTGCAGAGGAATACAATTACGACCGTGATTACGAGCAAAGAAAGCAAGAGCGACGACGTGCAAAGAGCGCTGGACGAAGTTCTAGCAGAAGTTCAAGTCGAGGCCGACGTCATAAGCACAGCAGTGACCTTGACGGCTCATATAGCGAGTCGCAAGAAATCATGGCCCAGCCCGAGCAGAGACATCCCTATTTTCCTCCTCCGCCAACATCCGAGTACAAGCCCTACGAGCCCCAGCAGTATGCTCCCAGCCCGGTGCGCGGCCAAGAACGCCAGCCATCGGCAACACCTACATATGGATACGAGCCCCAGGTAAATAATTTTTCATCTTTTCGACGTGCGACGCTTGCGACGATGCCCGAGTATTCGATACCGGCGGACACGAGTCGGCCGATGTTGAAGAGCCGGACCACATCGACGCCGTCAAGTCCTTTTTTGTCTAAACCTCGTTTCCTTGACAATATTTCTCGTGCTTCTCCACTTTCTGCTTCCTTTGCCCCGTCATATGAGCCGCCTCTCGCAGCCTTGCTTCAGCGTCCACTCACTAACCCCCCAAAGCCAGCACCTTCCTCAACCCGAGGCGTCGATGCAGACTACACGCAGCAGGATGCCCATCGAGGTCACTCTCGATACGCTCCCAACAGTGCATATAATGCAGCACCTCCCCCGCCAATGAGTGATGCTTCTATTCCTCCACCACCAGTTGGCTCAAACTCGCCCTTGAACCCTTACCATCATACCGGTTTCGCTGGATATCAACCATCGCCACCACCATTCAGCCGTCAAAGATCGAACTCTCAGCCTGGTTACAGCCCCACGCCCGAACCACCGTATCCAAATTATGCTCCTCATGTTGCGCGCGAAGACGTCGTCCAATATGCACCGCCTCCTGTAGACCCCTACCGTGGCCACCGGCACCGTGGGGAACATGGGCATAGGAATCGAGCCAGGTCTGCCGACTCCCACTCCCGTCGCTCCCATTCTAGCAAAGACCATGGTCGAGAAGATTCACGCATGGCTAAAGTGCGTGGTAGATTCGACAGTATGGACCTGCGCGAGAAAGGGCTGGCGGCGTCAGTGGGAGGTGCGTTGGCTGGCGGAATTGCAGGCAGGACCATGGGTAAAAGTAGACTGACGACGCTTGCAGGAGCAGCGGCAGGTGCGCTCGGCGCCCGGCAACTGGCGACACGCTCAAGGTGCGTTTGTAACATCCATACCTCAATACAGATATGTGTCTTTTGTCTGGCCCCACTGTAGAGAGTTTCTGACAACATAAGCAGGAGCCGGAGCAACCGCCGGTCTGCATCCCGTTCTCGCTCCCGCTCGCGCACTCGCCCCCATGACCGGGAGGAGCGCAGCAAAGGCCCTGGTCTGCGCGCTAGAAGCCGGAGTATTATCGACCGTCTTCGCTCCAAATCTCGGGGTCCAGAGCATCGCGAGGAGCGGCGAAAAGATGAGCGTAGTAGGGACAATAATAGGCGCGATCGCCGCCCTGACCGTGGATACGACTATGGTCGCGATGACGAGTACGAAGATGATTACGACTACTTTAGCAGCGATGAGGAGGGAAACGGATCCCCGGTCAAGACGAGGAGGCATCGGAGGAGGGACTATTAAGGTTGGAATCCGAGACATAATGGCGTGGTAGTCGTACCAGGTTGTGGTGTATTATTATTAGGTGTCTTTTTTTTAACCTTTTTTGGGTGTGTATGTACCCGTGCCATTCCTTTTTTGGCTGCTTTGTCGTTCGCTTTTTTTTTTGCGCTCTTTCCTGCAGCTCTCATATGCGCATGTGGTTTTATGAGGTTATGACGTAGCTGGGCTAGGATAAAGATACGAGACGACCTTTTTATGAATTTATGAGAAATGACAAGGACAGACGCATTAAGAAGGGAGAAGGGAGAAATGCTCGGCTACTAAGCTCGGTAGTAACGAGTGAGATGAATCTTTGCTCCTCTTTTCCTATTGACTTGAATTAATACTGTCTTTGATTCATACCACTTTTTTTTAGCGTTCGAAACAAAACATCCACCATGAAAGGAAAACCTACCTAGACATCCTTCCCTTCCATATATATTTCCAGGCGCAAAACGCGGGATACCCATAATCCCACAATCCCAAGAACCCAAACCCGTCCACCCGCTAGCATACACACCGTCCGACCCTTCCCTTCCCCCATCCCGCACAGACACACTCAAGAGCACATGAGACCTCGGCACACACACACACACACACACACACACACACACACACACACACACACTCTCTCTCTCTCTCTCTCTCTCTCTCTCTCTCTCTCTCTCTCTCGCGGTACCCGTTCCGTAAACCGTTACCCGTATACCAACCGCTTACCAGATCCAGAACCACCCGCTCATCTTAACCCGTACTTTACGTCCTGTACCTTTTTTTTCCTCTCCCGTCCCCCCTTGGAAAACTGAGAAATGAAGACTAAGAAAGAGAGTAAACGTAGAATAGCAGTAGCCTTTACATAACACGAGACGGGGGGTGGGGTCCTCCGTGAAGAAAGGAAAGAAAAGAAAAATCTTCTTTGGTGGACTGGGATATAACTGTAGGGAAACATTAAAAGTACTTCTCGTGTAGAGAAAAAAAGATTTTTGAAAAAGAAAAGAAAAGAAAAGGGTGAAGGGTTGTTTGGCAAGTAAGGATATATCTTGGGTGTCTCGTAATTTGGAGAACGAGTGAGAGAGAGAGAAAAACAGATTATTAACTAGGATTGTAATGTTAGAATAGCTACATACGTTCTAGCTAGAATAGTTACTCTACATACATTGCAACGAAAAAAAGTTCCCAAAAAAAAAGAAAAGAAGAATCTTATTTCATTCTTTTTTATTCCCCCATACAATTGCGCATACTTACTTCCGCCTTGCAAATCATGTTCTTAATAATCCACATACGTTATCCAGAGTAGTACAAATAAAATAATCTTTGCAAATCCAAGGGGCTCATTTCCTTCCCCTCCCCCCCTTTTTTTTTCTTCTCCATTTCCCCCCATCTGGCTATGCGTACTTTCCGTCGCAACTTACCTTCTCCCCACCATCCCTTACATGCGTACTACGGCTACGTAATTACCTTATACGAAGAGTAAGCCAGCGTTGTCAGGCGCGGGAACCCGGGTTAGGCGCGGTATGCGGGTGGCTGTTGGGGTCCTTTTTTTTTTTTTTTTTATTAAAAAAAAAGGTGCTTTTACACACGGGTTCCCTTAGTAACATGCGTCAAGTAGGTCTAATACGACAGAACATGGGAAAATCAGCAAAGGTTCGTCGATGTGCTAGTCTTGTGCGGAACCCGGGTCTGGCGCGCGTTGCGGTGGCTGTGGGATAAGTGTCTAAGGGTACACATAGTCCCTACGGGCCTAGAACTACACGCCGTACTATGTACTGCGAAGTAAGCAGCCTTTGCGCGGAACCCGGGTCAGGCGCGGTGTGCGATGCGGTGCTGGGCTGTGTGGCGATGTGATAAACATGTCGTTACACACCCTAAGGTGGCGGAGAAGTGCGCAGGGCAAGAGCGCAGGGTACGGCATGCGGCTTAGATAAAAAAACGATATCACGTGAATGAGGGTGTAGGCGGACTGCGGATGCGGTATGCGGGTGAGATTCACCGATGAGGCTGGGGTATGGGTAAATCTTATGTGTGGTTGAGGCGGAGAGGAGAAGAGGATGAGGAGGGAGGCTAAAGTTAGGATTCTGTCGGGTGGACCCTGAGGAGCGGTTGTTTAGTAGAAGGGGGCATGTAGGTTTTGCTAGGCAATGTGTACGTATGTGTGTGTTGGGTGTTGTAAGATATAGACATCTCTGTTTTGTTGCCCAGCGCGGATACAGGGGAGGTATGTATCTTACACGTAAGTATGAGCTTGGCGGTTGGATCTTTATGTTTGACCCAGATGCTATTTGCCGGAACGTCGCCGTCAGCATGTAAGATGTTAGTGTCCCTGTTTTTTTTGGCGCCCAGATTGGATATACTATGTATCTTACCCGTACTTATTGGCTTGGCAAGGTGTCGGATGTCGACTTTGGGAATGTGGTCCTGATACTGTTCGCCGATGTAGTACTCGGCTTGTATCATACGGACCCCTGGTCTCTGTCCCTGCGCCCAGAGGGTAGGCACTACACAGTAGATGGATATATCTTACATTACAGATCCCTGATGCTGCTCACTCCGGATGTGGGTGTAGGCGTGCATATCTTACATATCCCAGTCCTGGTCAATGTTTCCATACCAGGCTTTGTTGGGTAATAATATGGCCTGGTAACTTGCACAAAGCTCCCCTGGACCCCATTCGCTCCATGTGAGCATGTCTTGTGCACTACTCTATGCACTTATATCTTACATAGTTTTCACACTTCCCCGCCCCCGGAATCTCGCGGATTTGATTCCACTCCCCGGCCCCCTGCGGGATCTAGGACGGAGATTTAAAACTCCTGGTGTGACTTGATGGCGGGCGTGGACGGGAAGTGAGGTGGCCGTAGTGAATTGGAACGGGAAGGGATCAAGAGTCAATGGACAAGTCGATGTCGGCCAACCTTTAGCCCCCAGTGTCCGGCTCATCTTACTGTTTTTTTTAGAAGGTGAGAAAGGAGGAGGTGCAGCTCTTCGTCCCTTTTCTGGTCTTGAGTCTGGGGTTCGGCATGGTTGGAGGGGTGGCACGCGGCTCGAGAGGGGTGGGAGGTTCTGGGTTCATACCCAGGGCACCGAGGGGAACAGGGTTCGCGGGGACGAGGGCTGGGGGCTTGGGTTTGATGAAAAAGATGCCGGGCTTGATTTGCGGAGTTAGACCTCTTGACATCCTGGGCAAAATGGGTTCGGGAATCAACAACGGCTGTTGAATTACTTGGGTGTGTTTTGGAGGCGACATCGTCGTGGTTGGAGAGAAGAGGGCCCGCAAAAAGGTGCAGGTATGTGGCAAGTACTGTTATTCTCGAACCCTGCATTTGTTGAGTGAAAATCCTGTGGCATGTATGTCCATGAAAGTATTGCTTTGCTTGTTGTTTGTTCCTTGTACTATGGCGGAAGGGATGCACACGGTAGTCTTGGTGTGTTCTAGAAGGATAGTCAGAGACAGCACCGTTTTGAGGCTCAAGTGCCGAATTGTGGGGAGGGGAAGAGGGGGAAAGGGTATAGGGTTGCCAATGCGCCTAACGTCTTTACCAAGCTCAAGTGCGTTATCGCACCCGCTGCTGTGCTTACACCAACCCCATGCTATCGGAAGCACTTGGTGGGTGTGCCATTCTCCTTCATTGAAGGAAGAAATCGAGCAGTGTTGACATGGTCTGACCGACGTTCTCCCGTCTGACGCTGACGACGCGCCCAGCGGCATCTGCCACGACTCCCGACACACGAATCGGATCCTCGCCCATGGTGCCTTTTTCCCGGTGACCGCCCGTCCATAACATGTCACTCGGGCTTTGCAATTTGCTGTTGCTTTCTCAAGCCCATGATGCTGGTTTGACCGGCTGCCGATCAGGGTCGTTCCTTATGTAGCCACGCTTGGCTCTGCAGGTAACCGGCACCATACCAAAGGCGTTGACGAACTCATGGCACGCGGGGGTGGTCGTTGTCCAAATCGTACGATTCTGGCGTCATACCACGTAACAATTCGAACAAAGGAAAACTCCCCCATTTTCCACGTCCAAGGAGTCGTTCGGCTTGCCTTCCTGTCATCGTGCATGTCTCGGTCTACGGAGCCGCACATGCACTGCATCACTACCCACGCACGCGCGCATGTCCTGGTATCCACCCTCACGCACACCCGTTCTAGACAGCTTCTTCTGTCTTTCTCTTGCGTGTGCGTATCCACCACGCAAACGGCCCGATCCTAGCATGTGTTTTTGTATCTCCGATGCACGGCGAACGAAGAGAGGCATACATCTGTCCCTTGTGTGTGTGTGTGTGGGCTGTGCGGGCGGAATCGTATCCGGACATATGGTGGGGGACGAGTGCGAGGGCGAAGAAGGGGGCGAGGCGGCGTAGATTGGACAGCCACACAACCCGGCCTCTTTTCTCTCCCTTTCCCTTGCCATTCTTCCTTGTAAGCGAGGCAACGGGTGGTGGCGCGCCCCAAGCGCCCGACGACGGGGGTTCAGGGTGAACGAACCAACGGCTCGCCGAAGATACAACGATACAGAGCAAAGAGCGCGGTGCAGGGCTGCGGCATTGGCTCGGAGGTTTCTCTGATCGGCATGCCAGGCATCTAAGCTATAGTACATCCATACTTCCATAACTGTCTTCATTGGCCCAATGAGCAGAAGCTTGTGAATCCCTCGGCCTCTCTAATCTGTATATTCGTCAGAAACATGATAATGTGCACCTCGACTCGGGGCATGCCATCGGCTTCTGCGGCAGTCGAGTGGAGAAGATGAGACCCGAAGGCTGCTTGGATTGGTGCAAAACGCTCCTCTTGAATGATACTCTACTCGCTGTTTTGGAACATGTCATTTGGCCGGCCTCGATGATCCATGTGCACGTGTACGGAGCGGCGTCGTGTTGTGGCTTGATTGTCATTCGCGAACACGACTGCAACCAGTCTTTTAGCGTGTTGATCCCCCCAGGGCTCCATGTGCGCTCCCGTTCGCCTCTGTAGCGTCGACAAGTTCTTCAACGAGTTGTGATTTTTGCTTGTTAGCCACCCCCAAGCTGTGCTTAATCTTTGCCAACTTGCCAACTACTACTAGTCCCAAATTGCCCTTGGTGCCTGCTTACACCAACTAAACAGCCACACTGAACAAAATGAGATAGGCTGAACCTTGGGGCAGTTACACTACACTACCTAACTGTCAGAAAAGGGACCAAGGGCTTTGAGTTTTTTGTCCGGCTTGGAAATATCGCCTGTCGAATAGCTCATGGGAGATGGGCGGGACATTCCAAAGGAGACAAGCAGTAGAGATTGGCGCGCCGCCGCTTGCTCGGTGCTTTTGGCCGAAAACAAAGATACAGATGCCTTTAGAGGAAAAAACCAGGGCACGCTGCAGTTTACTCGAGTCTGCCCGATTAGGTAAATTTGAGGGAGACGCGGTTTAGGTCCCAAGAATTTTGATCGATCGATGTACGGCCGTACAGTTGTGGTGGACAGACCTCCATGCTGGACAGCCAGCTCGACACTTCTCGTATGTGAACATACGGACGTGGCACGATGCTGACATATGGCGAGGACATACACAGGTTCGGTCATTTGCTTTTCTCTCGAGCAAGCACTGTATTGCCGCCGCCGAAAAGAAAAAAACGGTTTGTCAAGGAAAAAACTAAGCTCGCGCGTACTCGTCCGTCCTCAAAGTGCTTTCGGAGAGCCTGGGATACGAAACCATTGGCGTAGCTGATATGCGAAACCAGTTCCGCGCCGGGAGAGGGAGGGGGTGTGGGCGCGTTGCCTTGTTCTGTCGTTTCCAGAAACGCACTAGGAATTTGGCTACGCATATTCTTGCTTGATCAAAAGGCCATTGCACAAAGGGCCCTGTCAGCCGCTCGACATGCCCTCCCCAGCAGTTGCATTCCCGAACCATCGGCCATAGTTTTATCTTTTCCTGGACAGACACAAGCGCCAGGCTACATGCATCCGACAACACTAGCTTGCCCATAGTATATCGCGTCTAATTAATCCCTGTGGACATCGATGATCCGCAAGTCGAGCGTGGTGGAGTCTAGGGGGGCTATTTGGAAGGGTGTGTTTGGGCGCATGGACGTCTTGCTGGTAGGGTTCCTAAACATTGCCGACAAAGGGTTTCCTGGCTATATCGTTCCTAGAACGCTAGGTGGAGCGAATCAAGCGTTACAAATTGGACGTGCTTGGGAAAGAATGACGATGTGGACGGGGTCACTTGATGGCGCGGACCGCATCAAAGGAAGAGGATAAGAACCAGGGGTGCCGCGCTGTTGTTTCTTGTGATCAATCGTTGATGTCTGAGCGTGTCGCCACAAACTCCAGGGATTGGGGTGTCGTTTTTTTCTTGTGAAGGATCTGACTTATTATTGCCTGAACCGTCCTTCCGTCCAGACCCTATCAGCAAATATATATACCCTCATATTGAGAAAAATAAGTGTGCTACAACTACGACAAACCATTGAGCCCAGACTCTCACCAGATTACTTTGAACGAATGGCTCCCCACATCCCAGAAAAAAATAATCCAATCATGGCTCCCACAACACACTCCGCGTTTCTGGACATGCTTCCACCTGAACTCCGTATAAACATCTACTCGCACCTGCTCGTTGCCTCGACGCCTCTCAAAGGCCAACTTGCGCGACAGGACAAAACATACGACCTGCACACAGCAATTCTACGAACAAACCGACAAATCCACCACGAAGCGCGATCCGTCTTCTTTGGCAAAAACACTTTTTACATCACATCCATCCCACCATCGTCGTCGCCGCCGCCGCCACCACCACCACCGGCACGGGACGACAGTCAACCCGGCGGAGACAACGATGACGACTACGACGAAGAAGAAGGGTCCGGAGCCTTTGAGCCGCCACTGCAACTCCGCGATCTCCCACTCGTCCGGCACCTGGAGATAGATTTGCTCTACTACCCACGCAGCATGCAGACGATTCGCGACCGGCGGACAGGCGTTTGGAAACCCGTGTGCGTCGGTGCGCAGCGCTACAGCACAAGCTTATCTTATCTCCTTTCCGCCGTCGAAACGCGGCTGCTGAGTCTCAAGCTGTGCGCTGACACGCGGCGGTATCTCGATGAGACGGTTATGGTTGCTAGCATTGGCAATGATAGTAGCAACATCAGTAGTAGTAGTGGTGGTGGTGGAGGTGGCAATGCCACCAGCAGCAGCAATACCAACACAGCCAAAGACAACGACGACAGGCTAGAGGCCCAGCGAATACTAACGGGCTTCTACATGGCCGATGCCAATCCACTATTCCGCAAGGCGCTAGCGCGCCTGCACGTCGCTGACATGGCTCTTCATTTCGACTTTCCGGAAAGTTACTTTGACTTTGTTGTCTTGAAAAAGGTCTTGTGTCGCCAGAACTTGGTCGAGCTAGCGGGCCAGGTGCTCGATGTCAGGTCAGAAATCCGCTTCAAGGCTGCTGCCAAACTCGAGGCCGGCGCTGACGAGGGATACGACATTCCCGACCAGGGCGCTGTTACCTTGATACCCGCTTTTTCTTCGTCTTCCGTCTGATACCATGGTTTTATCCTTTGTCTCTGATCTCTCATATCCGTGTCCTCCTTGTTTAATTTTCTAGCGGAGGATATTTTTATTTTTAGAATTAAAACATGGTTTAGCGAAGCTCGCATCGAGGTGCAATTCTCTGCATACTTGTGTTATTCTTGGGAGGGATACCCAACTAGGAGTTGTTGTTCATTTTATTTTATTGTTTTTACTTTTTGCAGCATCATCTAGTTTGGTTCATTGCACAAATATGCAGATACCTCGTGCAAACAACGCAAAAATAAAATCCATCCTGGTCACAAGCACATCTACAAAAGATCTTCAGTCATAGCACACGGTAGTGAAAAGTCTAACCATTTTTGTTATTCGACGATACAAAACCCGGAAATGCATGTACAGCCGGACCCCTCGCGTAGACATTGCCATGACGGTTTCACGCTTCTCGGTTGCATGCGGGGTTCTCTAAAGGGTTTACGTCAAAGGGTGATCTTCTAGAAACCAGTGCGGACTAGGTAGAAAAAAGAAAGTTCCCCGTTTTCTTAGTTCACAGATCGCCGCCATCCCGACGCCAGAAGGAAGTCCTACACGCTAAAGGTGTTAGTGGTTTCCGTCGATGCGTCGACAAAGATCCACATTGGGATGATTTGCATCCCTCGACATGCACATGTTTGCGCTCGGTCTTTGTTCGGATGCACGAGCCCAGATATCGTGTGGCGGCTCAGTCACTGAGAATCTCAATCTCTTCATCGTCGTCACTGAGTAAGTTGATGATCTCTTCGTCATTGTTGAAAAGCTCCTCGACATTTTCCGCTCCAATTAGGTCCTGGTCATATGTCTTCAGGGTTTTGGCTATGCTGCGGTACAAAGCCTCAGCCATTATGGGGGGGAAAGCGTTTCCCACCTGTTTCGTCGCCTCACTTTTCGACCCAGTGAATTGATAAGTGCGCGGGAAACTCTGAAGAAGAGATAGTTCCCTTGCAGTGAAGGGCCGCATGCCAGAGGGATGGTACGCAGTAGTTCCTCCGGTCGTTATGCACCCTTTCAGGTACGAATTTACACTATACGGTGTTCTAGGAGAAGTAAAGAAACGAGGTTGGTTATAAGGGTCGGTGGTGGCTTCATACCCAGGATGTCTCAAGGGCAGGAGCGCATCAGCGATAGTGATAAGACCTTTGAGGCTGTTACCAGGAGGCCCATGAGTGGGTTTGGGGAAAGGTGGCAGAGGCATCCCGCGCCTAGGTATAAGACATTAGCCTACAGGAACCAGAACAGTATAGCGTAAGTAAGTACATACCTAGCAGCAATGATAAGAAGCCGTTTACGTTGCTGCACGAGACCAAATTCTGACAAGTCTTGGACCTTGTACCTCAAGTCGTATCCAGCCTGGCCAATATCATTGAGCAGCATGAAAAAGTTCCGTTTATGTTCTCTGTTTGTTAACAAACCAGAGGTCTGCTCGAGTGTTGCCACTCGAGGCTTCACTTTCTTCAGAATTGGACCGACTGTATACAGCGCCTCGTAGTTGGCTTGGTCATTGGGTCCTGGTTGAGTACTAATAGAGATATAATATTAGTACGTACTAAAAGTAGTGAACAAGAAGCAAGAGCACTTACTGCGCAGGACTCCAATAGCAGCATGGAGGTGACAGGTGGAGGACATCTACCCTCCATGCCTTCTTGCTAATACCTTGTGGTGGGAAATCATGTGCATCCATCTTGAACGAGTAAGCACTATGGTGGTTCAGCTTGTAAGCTTCGATAGCGCGATCATCCTTGTCCAGCCCCCAAGCAACTGAGTAGCCCGCTTGCAAAGCGCCTTGAGATGCACCACCGACGCCACAATAGACGTCTCCATAGGTCAGTTGGTCTCTCTTGCTACTGAATCTGGCCTTACTTCTTGGAGTGGCCAAACCAGAAGAACCGGCGCGCCTACGATGCTTCCTGTTCCTAGAAGTAGAGCAATCTTTAGTAACAATTACGCAATCATCATCTTCAACTCCGATAGATATTGCTGTCTTTCGAGATGCACCGACTTGCATCAACTGATCCAAGTTGCTAAGTTTGTCTGCCTCCTTTGCATAGAGGTACCGGACGATGCCACTGTATGATTTGCCGTGTTGATTTACGTACTGTATGTTGATGACTCTGCAAGTAAGTCTCCCTGCATGGAAGATTTGGAGTTTAATCTCTTCTTGACTCATGCCAACAGGGATAGCCAATCTGCCACTAGCCCGGAAACTGAGGAAGGGATACGGCTTGTTTGTAAGCATGCATTCGCGTATGCGGTAAACCTCGTCGATGTTGACATCTTCTAGTCCAGCAACGAGTGGAGCGCGCTCGTCTTGTTCCTTGATACGTAGCACTATTGCGAGCTCATTCAATTGCCCTTCGATAATTTTAGTGCCGATGTTGGTGCACATTAATAGAATGTCTATACGCACAGTCAAATAACTGACCAAGGTATTTAACGCGCCGCATTCGATGACCACAGAGCCGGACCTCATCTGTCTCCAAGTTCATGACGATGTACTTGACGCGGAGGAAATCCCCACTATGCCTGATATCGGCTTCATGTGTCAAGTGGCCATGCAACTCCACTGTGCTTTCTGGTCTAATGACTAGACCTTTACCCAAGCGGTAACTTCCTATCACGACTTCTGAGGGCTGAAGAGAAGAAGCTCTTACAAGGTTAGGTGCAGAGGAAGTCGAGCTAGCACAGTGATGATGAGAGATAACCTCGGGCTCGTCGTCATTAGAGTCTACTTAGAGCATTAGTGAAAGATGCAAAGATATTTAGAGGGATACGTTACCATAGTCGATAAGATCAAATTCGCTCTCCTCATTACTCGTGGGCCTGTCACTGTCGTCATCGAGGACGTAGGGGTGTGTCGCAGACATGATTGCGTGTGCCTATTGTATTGAGGTTGTAGGGAGCTTGTAGTGATGCTGTTTAAGCGCTTGGTGTTGAAAAGTAAAGGTGAAAAGGAATCGGATTGCTAGCAGCTTTGTTCTACGCACGGCTGTCAATTCGTGTAGTAGGGAGGTATTTAGCAAGAGGTGACAGCAGAGAGTTTGTGCGTGGTTCTTGCAGCAGCGGAGTAGCGGTAGAGGAGTGAAAGCAGCCCCACTGATGGATTGTGGTGAAGTGAAGGAATCAAGCTACAGTGGATGCCGCTTTGTAGTGAAGGTGAATTTGGCCAGGCAAAATAATCTGGAAGAAGCGGTGACAAGTAGGGAAAGAGCAGACACATAGACAGGGAGTCAAGTGGCACAACGAGTCCAAGAACGAGGAAGACGTCCAGGGTAATTCACCACGCCTTATCTATCTATACAGAAAATGCCAGCCTCGAAGCTCGTGCAAACAAAATGCATGTGATGTCACTCATGAGATTGTCTTGTGCACAAACTCCTTCTCCAGCCGGCCGACCTCGTGCTTGAAAGCCTCCACCTCCTTCCAGCAGTCCAGCGGGCGACGGTCGTGGGTCCTCAGACACGCGACTACGGCCTCCTTTGCCTTTGTCACGTCGGCGTCGGCCTGCTCCAGTTTCTTTCTCTGCTCGAGCTTGGCCTTAAGGCGCTCAATTTCCTTAGTAACGCTGTCCCTGCTCATGTCCTTTTGCCTCTGCTTTTCAGCGAGCGTGGAGCTGCTGGATGTGGCGTCTTGAATCTTCTCGACAAGCGAGGGCTCGCTGGGTTGCTGAATCTCGTCTGACAGGGTTTCGCTGATCTTGTTGAAGTTCTGAATCTCTTGGGCGCGCAGTTTCTCGAGTTCAGCTGTCAGACGTTCCTGGTACTGAAGTTCCAATTGTCTTGACCGTGCTGAGTCTGTCTGTTCGCAGTCAGTCGCCGCCGGCCATGTTAATTTGGAGGGTGCGCACGAAAGGATTCTTCTGCAGCGAACCGACCAGCTCATTGGAGAAGCTGACGGGGTGATCTCTGCGCGCAAACTGGTCAGCACCCGACGTCACTCTTGTCGCTGGGCCTATGGCGCGCGGGGAATGCCATTGGTTAGGCGGACATGTACATACGGGGAGAAGACATGCTGCTTGACCTCAGACGAGGGTTTCGAGTTCTCGGCACCCATTGTTGCGATGGTGGGACGGCAGGCGTCGTTGAGCGATGATGCACTTGGTCGAAGAAGTCCGAGTTGAGGCTTGGCCGACAAAAGCACGCTAACCACCATCCCTGCACGCCATCTCTCCATGGTCGGGCGCGCTGGGAAAACACCATGCAACTATCGCGACATTTAGCTTTTTGTATATAGCGACATCCCCGCCTTTCACCGCCAGCACTTCATGCAGCGCTCCTTCCTTTGAAATCGCATTATTTCTCTCAAGCCATTCATTACAACTATCTCCTCAGTCTCTCCAACTGCGCCCGTTCCCTAATAACCACATTCGCCCCTCTCCCGCCACCCCGCCATGCAGTCTTCGCTGACCAGCTGGCTGAAAAAGTCCAGCTCCGAAAAGCAGCCCCAGCAGCCTCCGAATGTGCCTCTAGTCATACCGCCAAAGACCAGCCGTCCACCCCCTCCCCCAAAGTCGGCCTCTGCTCCAACCAGCGCGCCCCTTACCACCACACCGACGCCTTCTGCTATGGAGAACTGGAATGACATCCCCGATGACTTCCTGCAAGCACCTTCGCGACCCAAGTCGAAGAAGAGCCCTCGCTCATCTCGCGCCGTCACTCCTGTTGCTTCGACAGTACCCTCCCCTAATATTCTCCCAGTCCAGCAGCCCCCCAAACCACCGCTTTTCGCCCTTCGTCCTCTGCCACCCAACGTCCAACTCGTACCACTCACCGAAGATCTCATGCCAGCATTCAAGCGCCTAAACACCCTTACCCTGCCGATATCGTACCCAGAGTCCTTTTACAAGGAGACTATGACGGAGCCGCACCACGGCATCACACTCGTGGCAGTATGGCACTCGCGTCCTGCAGGTGAAGCTAGTGAGCCTTCAGCAGAGCAGTCGCACCTCGTTGGCGCTGTGCGGTGTCGGCTTCTTCCCTCTTCGCAACTATACATCTCTACTTTGGGCGTACTCGCTCCCTATCGTTCCCACGGCATTGCTATGCACCTGCTACAAGCCATCGTGAAAAAAGCCGTCGACCTTCATAGCGTGCGCTCCGTCACAGCGCACGTATGGGAGGCAAATGAGGAGGGCATGGAATGGTACAAGAAGCGGAGTTTCGATATCGTGGGCAAAGAGGAGGGATACTACAGGAAGCTTAGACCGCAAGGCGCACTCCTTGTGCGTAAGTGGATAGGTGTGGGGGATTTATTGGATCCCAGTATCTTGCAAAAAGATGGGTTGACTGGCGAGTGAGCTTAGGGTTCTGGTCTTGCTCTAGACACTGGCTCTTGTTCACCCTTACCAAAAAGCCCGTCAGTAGTCTGATTGCCTTAACTGTCTAGACCTTGCTCGAGTTACCTGGAACCGGTAATCTGGATCTTTCCACTGTGCATCAGCTCTTCCACTTGTCTATTCAGCCGAGCCAACATCACGGTACGCCCAGAGGCACGTTTCCTCATTGTAACTCGGATTTCCCGCATTAGACCTCGATTCACTCTAACTGCTTGCATCGGATAATCTGCTTATGCGCCGTGTGCAGAATAATATCTTCCATAAGCACCACGAGTATTATGTGGGACTGTTAAGTAGACAAGGATGGCCTGATTCTCAATTTGCGGCTAAAACACCTTCCCGCCTAACCGCCTCGAAGACCGATAAGAATAGAATCCACATCAGTTGCGAAGGATTTGAGGATATAGCCAACCTTTTGAGCAATGGGTCAAGTTGAGTAAGGTAGTGGTGAGTTCACTCGTTCACAAAACAGACAACTCGCTATGGACCATCTCAACATAGTTGATATCATAATCATGGTCTTTGGGATGCGCGGGCTGCTATTTTCATCGGTGCTAGACTGCATTCTCAATCATGAACTCCTTTAGAGGTATCTTTTCCTGCTAGTGCACAAGGACCTCTCATGCGCGTTGGATGCTCGGCATCCATCGTGTAGCCACAATATCGGTGAATACCCAGACAAATTAGCCAGACCTCGTATGGCGTTCTGGTCTAGCTGGAATGCTCTTGACAATGGAGCCGCGGACAACCAGAAGTCAGAGCTAAGCCATGTTGCTCGATCCTACAGTTGAAGTCACGACTCTATATAAGATACTCGCAATGTGAATCGACTTAGCCCTCGGTCAAACAGTCAAAATTGTATCACTTTCTTACCAAGCTTCATTTTACCTCACTACCATGCATCTCACTACGGTTGCCATCTTGTATGCGAGCCTTTTGACACTCTGTGGAGCCGTATGTGACTGTGTTACTATTGCATGTGCTTCACTGATCCTGCTACAGGTACCGGCCGACAAAGCTCAACTTGAGCCGCGACAGACCTACATCATAACATGTATTGGAGGGCGCTGCAGCGACAATATCAGTCGACCAACATCTGAGCCACCAAAGCCAACGTCGAGCAAAGTCACAACGACAACCAAAGTGACGACAACAAGCAAGAAGCCTGAACCGACTCCTACCCCGTCAAAGGTCAGTAAATCATCTGTCTATTTACATGACTCAAACCACTCCTCGTTATCGGCGATTAGTGCTGTAGCTAATGAGTTCCTCACAGACTACAATCAAAACAAGCACAAAGACTGTAGTCCCACCAACCAAGACTACTACCGAGGAAGTCGGCCCAAGTAGCACTAGATGCCCCGTGCCTCTCTACTACAAGTGTGGAGGTTGGCACGACGGCAAGCCCTGGACAGGCTGCACCCAGTGCGTAAAGGGAGCAAAATGTGTGGAGCAAAACGGTGCGTATAGATACTTGTCACCAAGCATTGATTAGTAAGACTAACGTTGATTAGAATGGTACTTCCAGTGCGTTGCGGACACTAGTGTTGAATGAGTATAGCAGGTCAGTTCTGGCTGTTGTGCGCGGCATCAGATATGAGAAGTACAAGCAAGCATTCCACACACTATCATTTAAGCGGTCACCTCTTTCAACTTAGATATCTTACCCTGAATCTGACATGTCTTCAACGCTTACAATGTCACCTTTGCCTATGAAAACCTTTTCTTTGATCATCTTACAAACATGGCCGCACGCTTTGATCCATGTGAAATAGCTTCTATCCATGCTCCATGAATAAGGCTGATGACCAAGCCTTACTACACCCACAGATTGGGACATGGTGGGGTAACGTAACAATGGCGTTCCTGACCTGCCCCACCATTACCAACATGAGCAGACGTCATAAGTAGTCAACAGTCGTTCCGGCAGCTACCGCATATTTCGCAATTGCTCAATCTACTTCTCTCGTCTACTTTCGTTGTTTAATTACTCTGCTGAGTTCCGCTCCAGCGCATATCTGTTCATGCCTTTCTCTTGCAATTGAAAACAACGCGACGCATCGTCTCTCCCCTCGATACAGGTGTAAACAAATAGCCCGGAAAAATGCCCGACCCACGCGTCTTCATAATCCGCCACGGCGAAACAGAATGGTCCCTCAACGGCCGCCACACAGGCGTCTCGGACATCCCCTTGACCAAAAACGGCGAGAAGCGCGTCCGAGCAACGGGCAAAGCCCTTGTAGGCGACGACAGATTAATCGTACCCAGCAATTTAGCTCACATGTATTTTACCTTTTTTTTTCACACCCATACCCAAAGAAAATAGGCTGAAGAATATTAACAATAAAGATAGATACGTCTCCCCCCGCACCCGCGCGCAAAAAACCCTTGAACTCCTCAACCTCGGCTGCAAAGACCGGTACCCCTGGTCCTCCTCATCGCAACAAGACAAACCCGACATACGCACGCACGCTAAAATCGAAGTCACAGAGGCAGTCCGCGAATGGGACTACGGCGACTATGAAGGCCGCATCACAAAGGAAATCAAGCAAGATCGTGAGAAGCGCGGGTTAGGTTCGGACTGGGACATTTGGCGCGACGGGTGCGAAGGCGGGGAGAGCCCTGAGGATGTGACGGCGCGGCTTGACGCATTTATTCATGAACTGAGGGAGAAATGTCACAAGGGGAAGTTTGGTAAGGATGGGAAACCAAATGATGTGCTGATTGTGGCGCATGGACATATTTTGAGGGCGCTCGCGGCACGCTGGGTAGGGAAGCGGTTAGAGGAGAATCCAAGTTTGATTCTTGAGGCGGGGGGTGTGGGCACACTGAGTTATGAGCATCATAATATTGATGAGCCAGCGATTTTGCTGGGTGGTGCGTTTGTGGTTGATGTTGTAGAGAAGGAGCAGGAGGAGGCAAAGGCAAAGGCTTAGGGTGACATCTGTCGGGTAATGCATGTGTTCCCTTCTCTTTATGGGAATTACATTACGTTATTTTCATTGCCTATCCTGTTCGGTCTCGTTGTATGTACATACTCAATCTTTCCGACCTACTTCCCCCTCATCCTTCATTACATTATATAAGCGACACATTCCACACTCACCGACTACTCCGTTTTCAGGGTGCCGTCGTACCATTCCCAGCAGGTCGAATGCGCTGGTAATCCAAACTTTTTTGCTTTGCAATCTTCTCAAGCTTCTCCTTGTTCTTGATAGACCAGAGTACAAACTCGCGAATCGCAAACGCATTCACGAGACAATCATGGCCGTACACAGCATGACTTGGCAGATTTCTCTCAGTATAGTCGCGGCACAAGCTGTCCAGGGTCAACTGTGCCTTGCTCAATGGACCGTTGGCTGCCTTTTCCACCACCTTTGCAATGTCAATGGCACGGCCGTGAACTATGCGCAAGGGATCGAGATCTGAGCGCAAGTTGTGGCCTACGATGATCGTCCCGCCATCAACATACTTTTGTAGGGCAGCCCGGGCTGCTAACCAGCCTTTGAAGATCTTGTAGCCAGCCTGTCGAGCTGCTTCCATGTCGAACCAGCTGGAAATTCCGGTGACTGCTGGACGCCAGTCGGCGACGTGTGCGCGCGGATCGGTACAGACGAGGTGGTTCATGAGTATGCCGCAAGTCACGAGATCGATAGCTGCAATCTTGACAACTTCGAAACGGCCGCCTTCAAGCACGACTTTGCTGCATGAGAGAGCAACGACACCCAGGCATGACTTTCCTGGATCTCGAGCCGGGCACGGCTCGAAATCGGCGAGATCGTAATAGACTTTGTACTCATCCATGAATGTCTTTGGTGCTGGCACATACTCGCCTTGAAGCATCTTGGGTAAGTGGCACATGTTATCGAGCATGTCGACGACCTCGGGCTGTTTCGCGACAGAGATTCTGGTCCAACAGATGCCACCAACAGTCATGCCGCCATCATAGTGTATGAAGATATCAGACTGAATAAGTAGGCGTAGAGCTCGCACTTGGATCTGCTTGGCCTGCTCCATATCGGCAGCACTGCCCATGCTTGTGATCATTGGCACACTACTTGCTTGAACTGGCGCCACATGATGTTGTGCTAGTGCAGGGCGTTCTCCGGGAGGCATTCTGGGCGGCCGGAGGGCAAGGGGCTGAGGAGCTCGAGTGGGAGTGTTGCTACCCTTATGACCATAAGCCGGCCCAGAAAGTGCCCGTAGAAGCCCTTCTTGCTTCAGTCGTTCTCTTTCTCGCGCGTTAAGCATCCAAGAGTCGCGCCCACTTATGTCCAATTTCTGACCGCCAACGCCATGAATGTCGATTCTGTGTTGCTTAAGACCAGCCTCAGACCTGAAAGTCTTCCCACAGCCGTTGGTATTACAGATATATGTGCCAGTGTCGGCAGCTGGAGCAGATGTTACGGGGGAGGCACTGTGTTCTTGGGGTAGCACAAGCTTGCCCAGTTCCGATGTTACTGCCTGGACTGGCATGTGCTTAGAGGCCTTAGCCGTTAGTCGTCGAGCAGATTTCTTCTTCCTCGCCACTGGCAGGGGCCATGATTCGGCTGGGGACGGTGTAGCCTGAAGCCCTTTTTTGTAAGTTTCCATGACATAATCAGGCTGTAAGCGCGATTCGCCTGGCGTACATGCCAGAAAGTGGTTGTTGTAATGACCCTGGGATTGGAATCTCTTCTTGCAGTCCTTGCATCGTATTCCACCGTTGCTGGTGTTCATCGATGCATCTGACTGTTGCGTGAGATCATCGTAGGAATGAATGGCCTGACTGTAATCATCTTTGGGCTTGTCTAAGTCAGTGTATTCTTTGGAAGCAGACTGTGACTGTTTCTTGGGCGGCGTGTGTCTCCAGTCGGCACACGCGTTCGCTAGGTTGCTTCGGTGTTCGCTAAAGCGCTTCTGGTTGTTGAAGCTCTTCTCACAGCGATCGCAAAAGACTGCCATTTCTTCTGACTCCTTGAGCGTATCGGCACACCCCGATGGCGGCTTGCGATGATCGTCGAGTCTCTCTTGCGAGATGAAGCGTCGGTTGCATCTATCACAGAAGAAGTTAGGCGTGCCGTGACCGGTTTGACGTTGATGAAGCTCCAGTGCGTATGAGTCATCGAAATTCCATTTGCAAACATCACAATGGAGTCCGGGTGGTGTAGTATGGCGAAAGTGAGCTTCAATATGGTGACTTAGCTCAGCCTTGGTGATGAAGACCTCATCACAGATAGCACATTGGAATGCCATCTGAGATTCCTGCCTCTGTGCCATCACCGGTAAAGGCAGGCCGATTCTTCATGCGTGAGGATACAAGAGATGGAGTAAGAGGACTATGTTTGTGGGGTAAAAACACAAACGGCAAGCACGATGGAGGAGCACGGACGATCCACTATCGCGTTGTGACCTTCTCACCGGCAAAAAACCTTTACTCCGGCACTGCGTGAGGATGATGAGAATGAGGTCAGAGCCCCAGCCGGTGATGGCACGATCTGGCCGGGCAGTCTCCATGGCCGCCCCTAAGAGGTATGCCAGCTGCTCAACTTCCAGCACCGCTTTTCTGTTCATCTCGTTTACGCTACCTATGATTTAGAAACGATGAAGCAGGAATCTAGAAATGAAGAGCCGAGGAGAGTAGCGGAAGTAACCCTCCAGCGCCTAACATGGTCACTTCTCCTGCTGCCTTCCAACGCGTTTATTGTGCCAGCTGCAATATATCAACACACACTCCTTCTATCCGCATGTCTCGGCGTAGACTTGGGGAAGATAGAAGTAGGACTCATGGCATACGTACGTATCACCTGGCCAGCCGATTGATAGCCTGGAGGAGCATCTTGAAGATTTGTTTGATTGATGGTGTAGACAGAAAAGAAGAACGGACAAACCACTCTCTGCACCGAAGCTTTCAATCTCATGACTGAACTCATTCCATGAGACTGCCATATAAAGCCATCTCTTGTAATCTGGTACCAAAGATATCATCTGATCGACCCATATTTCGTGTTTAGAGTTCGCAGTCTGAACCTACGCTCTCACAGTGGCCACGGTTGTCTATTTAGCGCACAGACAACTGAGAATGCCGGGTGTTCAAGGTCTTCTATACCTTCCGGAGTTTCCCTTAGCTCGTGATTGTTGGCTGTTGAGCATTGCATCGCCCCTTTGCCTGTGGATTAGTTTGTCGTTATGGAACAGTCATCTTGTCGATCAAGGGTCGAATGACGGCAGTAATACTACCTATGTACCCCATATTACCCCAGATTTACCAGCCATCGGGGAAGAAGCCTCCACACTTTCGCAATCCCATCCGTTGTAATCCCCCACAAAGCCACATGCATCAGGACAGTAGTGGCTTGCGTACCCCGAGCTTCTAACTAACTAGGGATGCTGTACTGCTGTGGGTTGGCCTGTGCTCCACGGAACAGGTGGAAAAGAAATCGATAGCTCCATCCGCGATGTCTCAGGCCTGCCCCGTGCTTTTCTCACAGCTATGCGAAAGATAGTGGAGCAAGAAGATGTATCGACCGTGTACAACTGGCATCTATTGTGGTGCTGGTGGGCCAAGCCAGATTCCGTCTTCTCACTGTGATACGTGTAACAGATGCTGTGGGGCTTTTGCGGGGTATCTAGCGTGCTCTCACACTCCGCAAAATCCGGGGTGGCTGAGCTACTCGTCTCGGCCTCATGGCAGTTGGATAAGCGAAGGACAGCATCAGTACGTAGTATGTTCTCTGCATCTCTCTTAAGTACATCTTTACTCCATCCAGACATGTCACGCTCGTTAAAATGCAGCTCTGTACCCTGCTGACAGACAACAGCATTGTAATGCAGGCTAAATACATCCAAAGCCATGCATACCCATATGTTGGGACTTTTGATGTAGCCCTGCATGACCTTCAAACACAGAAGACGCGCTACTGTTTCCCTGTAACAAGATCCACGTGCTTATAGGCCCGTTTCCCCAATCTCTTCCTACGAAAACAAATGAGTTGCCGATCACCCTCTGTGGGGCTCTATATGTAATCAGTGTAAGGATGTGTGGGGTGTTTTGCTGAACATGTTCTAGGTAATAGACCACCAGTTGGGGCATGTCACCCTGGTCCGATTGACAACGGATGTTTTGGTCAGTGACTGGGGACTGCATATCCTTATTAACACGCGTGTTGCCCCAGATTTTCTCACCCACCAAACATCGACATCCTCAAAGTGGCCACTATCTTCATTTCGGATCCGTACAACCTCTCACTATACCTTTGCTTATTAATTATCATATTTCCCCAAGTCGCCCGTTGGTATAGTGGCACATCATGGGGTTCCTAGGAATCGCCGAGGATAAGCACCTTGCTCATGTTCCAGCAACTGTAATCTTGAGCGAGGATCAAAATCCTCTGACCAATGTCCCTGAAGGAACCGCTCCCCCCGCCGGACTAAAACGTGGCACTGGCAAAGACTCAGAAATTATTCTTATTCCACAGCCGTGAGTGTGTCAGGTACCATAGCTAACAGCAGGATTGACAAATAAATAGGTCTGAAGATCCGAATGATCCACTCAACTGGCCATACACTCAGAAGCTCGTTATTATGATGATTGTGGCCTATGGCTCGGTCCTCTATGCTGCCGTGCTATCCCCTCTCCTGTCTCCTGCATTGGTGGTCATTGCGAAAAATTTTAACAAGTCTGTTCGTGACATTACCCTCATCTCAGGATACATGCTACTGGTTACCGGTGGTGTTGGACCTATAGTCAACGCGCTGTCTCGCAAGTACGGAAAGCGTCCTCAGCTTATTGTTGCGGCGCTCTTCGGCCTACTCGGAACTGTCATCGGCAGTGCCGCGAACAGCTATGAGGGCCTCATGGCCGGACGCATCATTCAGGGCGGTTCTGTGTAAGTTTGATACATGCGCACCTGTCAAGTCATGCTGACTGTCATCAGGTCTGCTTTTGAATCCCTCGTTGTCTCGATGATTGGCGACCTATTCTTTGTGCACCAACGCGGAGTTTTCATGACATTTATCCAATTCATCCTTGGAGCTGCATCCAACTTCTCAGCCATCATTGTCGGACCCATTGCAACGAACCTCGGCTGGCGCTACCTTTTCCACATTCTTGTTCCCTTTGTCGCTATCGAAGTCCCCCTGCTCTACTTCTTCGTCCCCGAAACCAATTACAACCGCGACCACCGCTACGACATTGACGAGCTTTCCAACGAAAACCTAGCCGAGCTTGCCGCTATCGAGGGTGAAAAACAAAAGAGAGCGAGTGGCAGCGAGAAGGAAGGAAGCGATGACTTTGAAAAGGTCGGGACAAACACTACCTCACGCTCTGTCATTCCTCCGAAGAAGACTTATGTCCAATCGCTGGCCATATTCACCGGAACCTACTCTGACGATAACCTCTTGCAGCTCGTCATTGCGCCTTTTGCCGTCTGCACTAATATGGCTGTTCTGTGGATGGTGATCGTAACTGGTGGATTGACAGCCTTCTTTGTCGCACAGTCATACGTAATGGCTCAGATCTTCCAGGCACCGCCATACCTGCTCAGCACAGCTGGAGTCGGCTACCTTTCCCTTGGACCCTTTCTCGGAGGCCTTATTGGCTCCATCTTTATCGGAGTATTATATGATCCTCTCATCAAATGGTGTGCTAAGAAGAACAACGGCGTCTACGAGCCAGAATACCGTCTCCTTGCCATGATCCCGTCCGTAACCATAGTAATCGGCCTGTGCCTGTTTGGCCACTATGCCCAAAAGGGCTCGTCATTCTACCTCACTGCCTTCTTCCACGGCATGGACCTTTTCGGCATCGTCATCGCTTGTATCGCAGCCTCTTCCTACGTGCTCGACGCCTTCCGTGACATCAGCTCCGAAGTCTTCATCATCAACATGGTATTCAAGAACTTTTTGTTTTACGGCTTCTCGTACTTTGTCAACAACTGGGCCGCCGCGGAAGGGCCAGCAGAGGTTTTTTACGTCTTTGGCGGAGTCGCAGGCGGCATGATTATTACGGCACCCATTTTCTTCTTCTGGGGAAAGCGGTATAGGAGCTTTTGGCATAGACATAATCTCTTACAGAAATGGGGCATCTCGACACATGCTGAGATTTAATGTTTGTATTCATACAGCCACTGAGAATGATTATTCTCGTAGATTGCCAAAATATTAGTTTTTTTAGCTCTCATTTACTGCTTTTCTCCCCTGATTACCATGACCACTGTTTCGTGTCGTCTGTGCAGTACAATGAGAGACTCGAGTCAAGCATGCTGTCGACAGTATGAGCATGGCCAAAGTCTGAAAATAGCAATGAGGCTTCCCACGATAATATCTACGGACAAATGGAACCGAGTAGCTGCATATGCGGAGTAATTGATACCCTCGCGTCGTACAGAAGTACCCACAGCGAAAGCACAAACCCGTGGAACAGCTATTCGTAGACTCATGTATAACACGCGTATTATTATTATCGCTCAATTCTCCCCCCCCCCTCTTACCTGCGACACTGCTGTCAATGTGAGCAGCAAAAAAAGGGACCCAAGAATAACTGCGCACCCACACACGTTCCCTTATCAGCATGGTAACACGGCATATCCCGATACAGCGTCACGGTGTACATCGAAGAACACTTGGACCCGCACAAGCAGCTTCTTAAAAGGCTAGAGTCCAGAATCTAGCAGGCTGGAGGGTAAGTATATGAGCTTGCACACGTGAGGTGGGTCGCACTGCATTGGCTCCTGCCCATGCGGGGTTCCAATTGGACACAAGTTTCAAAACATTTGCTGCAGGTAAGATGGACTAGAGTACTGTTACACGGGGTTGGGTGCTAATACTTCTCTGGCTCGATCCGGGTTAGGGCGAGTAGGAATAGGGACTAGCTCCGTGAGAGTTGTCTGGCGATTCGTAGTGGAAAAGAGTTATGGATGTAACCGGGGTTTGACAACGCTAATCTATTCAATAGACTAACATGTAACTATCTTGTGAAGTAAAGAATACTAGTAAGAAAGTATAATTTGAGTTGACCACAACGAGAGTAATAATGAAATCCATCCATCCTTATATCCTCATTGCTTCCAGTCCTGCCATCACTGCCATCACGACTTTTCCGTTGCTTGGCCTGATGTCCTGATGGCTGCCATCAAAGGATTGCTGCCATCACATACTAGCGTCTGACGGTCGTCTTGGCGTGATGTCAATCACGTGATCCTCGCCCCGCGATGATCATTACCTTCTGGCGTGGACGTCCATAGGCCTTCAGCCAT